GTTATGCCTATTGTCAAAATTGATAAAGCTGATTATGCTAATATGTGTGGAAGTAGTGGCAAAAGATAATCTGATTACACAATTCAGTTTATGGATATCGTTTAACAGAGAAGGCTTTTTACTTCTTAAGTGTCTATAATCTATTTTTTCAGTTTTATTTTTTAAGTGTAATCTCATTTTCCATTACATTATTTTCCTCCCCACTTACTTCATTGCCAGCCACTGTAGCCTCGGGAACATCATCTGCTGTTACATGCATCGCCATTAGGCACTTGCTTGTTAGCTTCATCTTTTATTATGTCATTTATGTTCCCTCCTCTAGTCATATGCCTGATAGAGTGGAACTCCTTTAGGAAGTACAGATGGGGCACTGTGCCTTCACTGTGCAGACTCGGTGACTGGGCTTGCCCAGGGAGCTCATAAGTAGCCAGCCAGGGACATGACACCACCGGCTGGGAACCCCGAAGTCACCCAAGCTCACCAGTGTCTTCTCTCTGCCTAACCCCAGCGCTGGCTGCACCTGCTGACAGCTCTCCTCGGACCCACAGTGACCTTCAGGCCTGGGCTCAGCAGAATCGTCTCTGGGCAATCGATGCTGCTTACCTACCAGACCAAGAAAACAGGCAGCTGAATAATCTAAACGACTAGTTAAAGCAGTCATAAAAATGATGTGTACATACAAATATTGGGACTTTATGCTAATGAGCATTTGTCCACCAGTCATGTGGTTTGAGGCCACGATCGTCCCTTTGGCTATGGGTCTGTTTGGTGTGCTTGGTTGTTATTTCTTGCATAAGTTTCATGGAAACCACACCATCTATGACTTCCAGACTCAATTCCTGGAAAGTGGAGCCAGCCCTGGGAAGTGATCTGAGTGCGGAGCTTCCCTAGATGTTTATGACTCTCCTCTACTCTCTTAGAACTGCCTTTCTGCCCTCACCTGATTTCGCGGTGGTTTCTGCTTAGTTACTCTCCTTTATTGCATCTTTCCAAAACATTCTACCTGGAGTTCGCAGAACGAGCAGCTCCTCTTGTCTGCATCCGTATGTCATTATGCATTTATAGCAGTAACTAAAACTGGCCTTCCACGGGTGAGAAGGCACCCTGCCGCCCTAGAATTCGCTGGGGGATGGGGCGGTGGCAGGACCAGAGAGCAACAGGGCTGGTGGATGTCACCCCAGGGTCTGGAGTGCAGATGAGAAGCTCCCACTCCTCTGGTGGGCTGGTGAGGAGGAGGAGGAGGTCAATTAAGAAAACTTCTACATGTAATAATCCTGCTATTTCCATCAAGTCTAAAGAGGGCTTTTAGCCTTTCTGGGAACTCAGAGTTATGTGTACTTCCTTCAGGATATGGCAGGAATGCTGGGAGAGGGTGCTGTGTCCCCAGGGAGCAGGGAGGGTCCGCACTGGCCGGGTGTGGGCTTGGGCAGAAAGAGAGGCAAGCAGACCTGGGCTGAGCACGGAAAGAGGTTGCTAGAATCCCAAGGTGTTCCTGGGAATCTCAGCACCTGTCTCCAGCCTCCTGCTGCCTGGCCTGCCCTCCACCAGGTTCCCCAAGGCAGGAAGTGGAGGCCCGAGGGGAAGAGCTGGTATTCCTGACTAGAGACTTCCTTTAGCCACACAACCCTTCCATGTGGGTCTGTGACTAAGAACTGGCGCTTCCCAGGGACGATGGCTGGGATCGCATGGTCAGCATGTGCTCAGTGTCCTGCGGGCCCCAGTGGTCAGGCAGGGCCTGCAAACCAGCCCCTGACTCCCCACTCTTCCTCGGATCCTGGACTCTGAGTTGTGTGGACAGACTGAACTTTTAGGGGCTCCATGTTAAGTGAGCCTTGGGAAGCTGTGCGAGGCCAGATTGCCCCAGGTGTCACTTGGAAGGACAACACACGCCTAAGCTGGGGTCCCCTCTCCCCAGAGCAGACCACGAGTGCCGGCTTTTCTGTAGCGGGGTCTCCAATGCTCACTCCTGTTGTGTGGGGCACAGCCCTGGGCACTAGGACCAGTGCCAGGCACAGGTGTTCCATTGTCGCCACATGGATCAGGGATCAGAGGAGGCAGTTGCGTCCTTCAGGATCCTTCTGCCGGGTCCTGAAGGACGACAGGAGGTGCCAGGCGAGAGGGAGACAGGGAGCAGGGGAGAGGGAAGAACACGTGGTTGGTATTTGGGATTTGGGGGAGCAGGTTTGTTTAATGAGTGTGGAATTTGGGACACTGGTTGGTTAGGAAGCTGGAAACCAGATGGGATTCAGTGAGCAAGGGCGTCGCTCATAAACGTGCTTTCAATGGCAGTGACCTCATCGGATTGGTTTAAAAATAGCTCTGCCGGCAGGATGGAGACTGAATTCCAGAGGCAGAAAATGAAGGCAGAGAGACACATGGTAGACGCTCCTGCAGGCAGGAGATAACAGGGGCTGAATGGCGGCGCCCCAGCGGGGAAGTGTCTGTCCCTGTCCTCAGCAGATGATTGTGGAGCCCCTGCTGGGCCCGAGGTGGGAATACAGAGGTGGATGAAACACACATGGGCCCTGGACAGCCAGGAAAGGAAATTGCCCTTGGGACTGCCGCACAGTCGCCGGGAGCTGGTTACCCAGGTGTGCAAGGCTGAAGGAACAAAAGGGAGTGCTGAGGTTGCAGAGAGATGAGTAACTGCAGACAGCTGTCACCCCCTAGAGCTGGGAGGACAGAGGGAGGGAGGGGGAAGAAGCAAGATAACAGCGGCTCCCTTGTCTCACCACCTGCCTTCCAGGCTCCCTCTAGCGCCCCCTATAGGCATAAGCTGACAGGCAGCCAGCTGCAAGGGAGCCTGGGAAATGTAGTCCGCAGACTTCAGCCCCAGCGTGCAGAGCAGAGGACAGAGTTGGTGACTTTGCTGCCAGAGGGGGCCCTGCCCTCAGTAACCAGACGCTGATGGTGGGGAAGAGAGGGAGGAGGGCAAGCATGATTTGCAGGCTTCTCTCAGGGGAGGCTGAGGAGCCAGGCTAACAGGCTCCCTCTGATAGGAGCCAAGGCCAGAATGCTTGCGTGAATGTGAGGCCAGCAGCACACCCTGGAAGGGCAGTCTGGACCTTAGAGCAGATGCAGAGCCTGTCCCTTCACCTTTACAAAGCCTCTGGTGCGTGGCAGCATCTTCTCGCGTGAACCTGTTCGTAGGGCCATCCAGAGCTCCTCATTTCTCCTGAACGTGTTTGTTCTCCTTCTGGGTAGAATTGTGCCTTGCAGAGAAAAGTGTTTGGGTTTTTGCATTTCATTTTGCTTGAGTATGTTATTGACTTTTTTCTAATTTCTGATAGAAACTAATTCAAAATATTTCCTTATTAGACCTGAAGGACAGTTGCCCTCACCCTAGCTGCTTAACTGTGCACAGTAGGCGTCAGGACTGACAGCTTTCCCAGGCAGAGGGTGACAGACACACACTCGATCTGGTCGCCATTGATGAGCCTGTTTCAGACAATTAAACAAACACAGCTGTGGGCAGACCAGCTGGGAAGGCAAGGAGTGCGCTCTGTGTGTTAGGAAGACCCGCAGGGCCCATCTTTAGTCTGACTTGTTTAGACGTGGCCACCGTCCTTTCTCCCTCAGCCTAGAGCACACTGATCTCACAGCATTTGACCCTATTCAGAATCGTTACCTCACCCAGACCAGTGCAAAGTGTTCTCACCTCCTGGCCTCTGTTAACTCCAGCCCACCCTACCCCGCTGCCAGAGGCACTTTCCTCTCATGCAGCTCCAATCAGTCTCCTCCCAGGCTCTGGCACCTTACGATTGACTTCTAGAGCCTTATTTATTTGCTTTTCTTAAACTCATCTTCCACTGGCTCACCTGTTCTCGAGCCTGAGTGTCTTCCTGCAAGCCCACCCATTGGAATCCTACCAATCTTTCAAGGCCCATTCAGACGTCATCTTCTTCATGAATCCTTTGGGCCCTCAGTTCCCACACGGTGCTTGGAGACTTCACTGTTGTCTAATGGAGCTGTCCCTGGCTGTGTGTGGGTGACTGGGACTGGGTCCTTTTTTTGCATCCCCAATCCTCTCCTTCCTCCACCTGACACAGTGGGAGGTCCCAGAGCATGGAGCCCTTGTAGCACAGAGTCTTTGGGGAGCTGTGGACACTCACAGGGAGGTGTTGACTGGCACTGGAGCAGTGTCTCAGGCATCTCCACGCCACAGGTAACCTCTGGGCAGCAGTAACTCCAGGGTGGAAAGAGAAGCAGTGATTGGTAGTACTTCAAAAATGGAAAACTAGGCAAAGACAGGGTTCATTTTGTTGAAATGATGTTACCCCACATTGTTTAAGCAGCATCTCAGTGTTTAAGGTTGCCCCATAGAATGTTCTAGAGCTTACAAAGGAGTCTCTTTTTTCTTCAGAACACTGTTTTACAAAGTGTGTGAATCCCATAGAACTGCAAAATATTTATAATACTATGTGTCCAAAGGGGCCCATAATGAAATATTGGAGAAGTGTTGGGTTAAAGGATTAAATAGTTAAATAAATAATTCAACACAGACCTTCTCAGAGCCTTTAACACACTAATGAACATTGTAGGGCTCCAAGAAGAGAGTATGTGGCATTTCCCAAATATATTTCCCTGCAGGAATTTCAGGGGTGGGGTGAGACATTTCTCAAAAACACACTTCAGGAAGTGCTGTCTTAACCCGGGGACCTCAGGCGCCCTTTAACTGCATGCAGTCTTTGAGTAGTGTGATCAGAGGAGCCAAGTTTAGTGGTAGAGATAGCATTAAAGACTTCCTGGACTGTATTTTTTCTTTTAAAAAAATAAGAGGCATTCTGCATAACAGCGCGAGCATCAAAGTGCAATGAGGCTTCCAAGGCGAGGCATTCTTTGGGGAGCCTCGATCTGAAAGTGTGTGTTTAGCAGTCATGGCTTGACAGTTTAAATTACAGACACTCCACACTGATCATTGAAGCTTATGTATAATTGGCTTAATTAGACGCCAGCGGCACGACACGTCCCGGATAACTCCGGCTGTCTCTGTTTTCCAGTTCCTCCCGCAGAGGTCACATTCTGCCAGCGCTGCCTGCGTGACCCCCCACGGCACCGTTCTGCACCGGACCCTGGATTTCGACGAGTTCATCCCCCCGCTGCCCCCGCCACCCTATTACCCTCCAGAGTACACCTGCACGCCCTCCACCGAGGCCCCCAGGTTGGTCATCCGTGGATGCCCCACCTTGAGGTCCCCAAGACCAGAAGCAGTTGCTGGGAGGTTGGAACGGTCCCGCCCACTTTTAGGGGAGAAATTGAGCGGAACCGAGAGCCGGCGTCTGTCTGCGAGTGTGTTTAGTGAGAGAACAGAGACGGCACGGCGACAGGAGTAGTGCCAGAAATAGAACATTTCTGACGGTGTCTCTGCAAGGCAGCCCACTCAAAACTGGCAGCAGCCAGGAGCAGCTCCGTTGCATTCTCGTGTTGCGCAAAGCCGCCATCCCATTATACTCATTGGTAGAACATGGACAGGGCCATAGAGTTTATTGAAAATGTTGATGTCCCTCCAGTAAAAACACGAGTGAAAGCTGCCTGGTGAATTGGCTTTTATTCACAACCACGGCGAGTCCTGGATGGGGGAACCCTGGCAGTCCACGTTCTGCTTTGAGAGCGATGTCAGCCATTCAGGCTCCTTCCCCAGGGAATGACAGTGTGATGCTTCTGCCTTTTCAGGGGCCTCCACCTGGACCTCGCTGGGTCTCCGTTCAGCACTTTGTATGACGTGGCCATCAACAGCCCTGGCCTGCTCTACCCTGCTGAGCTGCCCCCACCGTACGAGGCAGTGGTGGGCCAGCCCCCCGCCGGCCAGGTGAGGCCCGGGCCCAGACAAGGCCAGTTCCCGTGGAAGGTGGGGGGATCCTTCCCTCCTGCCCTCAGAAAGCACCACAGCAGGGTGTGAGTTGGCTGCGTACTTAGCACCTGTGCCCTGGCCCACTGTGCACACTTGTGTCTCGTAGGCCTGTCCACAAACCTGTGGGATGCTGGTCTCGTTAGCCCTGTGCTGTGTACGAGGCATCAAGTTGAGACAGCAGAAGCTGCAGAGATTCCAACCCCAAAATACTGGGGTCCCAGTATTTTCCCCTTGGCTACTTGCTCAGGCTCTGTCTCAGGGCATCGCCACTCACATGTGTCTGAGCCTAATGTGTCAGTGTGTCCGGGGACGCGGTGCAGAAGGACCTGGGATAGCTTCTAATCCCTGGGCAGACCCCCCAAATCCAGGGGACCCTGGCCTGTCTTGACTACATGTGGCTGTCACCATCTACCAGGTAGGTAAGACAGCTGTTCTGGTCCTGTCTGGGGCCCAGGCCAGGAAGTGGTCCAGGCCTTCTCTGAGCTGGGCGTGCCGGGCACTCCCACCGCCTCTCGGTGCCTGACACATAACAGGCCCTCAGAAGGAATTCATGGAGCCTCAGTTTCCTCATCTGCAAAACAGGCGCCATAACAGTACCAAGCTCACGAGATGAAATGGGATGTTGCCTGCAATGCAGCCAACTTAGGACATGGAACAAAGTAAGTACTGATTTCAGCAAAAGCCAGTCATCCTTTGTGGGATATTATTTTCATTTTGTCGTCACTGCTGTTGCTGCCATTACTGAGCATGGACAGTACGTTGCTAGCCAGGGCAGAGAGACAGGAACACCTGGAGAGGTCATGTAGCGGCTGAGTGCAGGACGGTGGTCAGGGAGGTCCTGGAGGCCTGGGGGATGGAGCGTGGGTGGGGCACAGGGGAGTGAGGAGATGTTCTGGGAAGGGCAGTGGGGTCGGGGCTGAGCCAATTCTGGGCTCTGAGCACCAAGCAGAGGAGAGTGGACACCCAGGACTGCACTTTTGGACTTCTCAGCAGCTATGGAGCCCTTGGACACAGCTTAAAAGTCTATGGGGACAGTCACATCCACAAGGACGCATCACCTTTTGCAGGCTGGGTGGTCTTAGGACAGGAGGAGATGCACCTTCCTTGTGCGCAGTGGAAACGTGGACAGCACGTTCAGACCCTGTTAGACTCAACCTGTCGGAGCGGGAAATATTTGCCACAGGGACTCTCCTTCAGGGTGGCTTGCGGAGGGCCAGCTCAGTCTCCCAATCTGCCCAGTAAGCCCCCAGCCTGTCCTCGCACGAGCAGACAGTGCCTGAGCGGCTGCCTTTGCACCTGCTCCCACCCTGAGCACACGTCAGTCCCCCAGGACTCCACTGGGCCAAGGACTCCATCCGAGGGAGAAACAGACATGTGGGGACTGCCTGTGAGGAAGGACCTCGTCAGCGAGGAGGCAAAGCGGGACCCTGAACTCTCCTCATTCCTAAACCTGTGGAGATGCTTTTAGAGGTTTTTTTTAAAACTGAGCAGGGCCCTCTGCCTTCCCGATGTGGTTTATTTTTCTGTTTATAATAAAAAATAATTCAAATCAGTATTATTGGTGGAGACCATTTGCCGTGATAAGAGTTATCACCGGTGCTCTGAGAGGGGCGCCCAGTGCACTGTGGGGCACTCGTCAGGGGCGCAGGGCCACTGTTTGGGAGGTCCAGGGAGGACCCGAGAGCTCAGACTGGGAGGGCGTCAGGCAGGCAGGGTTCAGGAGGAAGGTCCGGGAGGGCTCCTGGGAGAGGGAACAGCTGTGCAAAGGCTCAGAGGGAAGGAAGGAGCGGGGTGGACACAACACCAGGCAGAAGGCCAGGCAGGATGAGTCTCGGGTGAGTGTGCGTGGGTGGAGGTGACTTGTCTGGGTGTGGGGGATGGAATTCCAAGTGAGTGTCCATCAGGCGATAGGGTCTGTGGTTCCGCAACTTAGAGAGATGGGAGTTAGCTGCAGAGATGGTCACTGGAGCCTGGGAGATGGAGGAGGGGGTGGGAGCACCCAAAGAGGAAAATGGATTTGAGGAATGACACCATCATGGGTGGCAGAGGAAGGGCACCCACCCACACAGCAGAGCACCAGGCAGGGCTCTGGGAAGCCTGCATTTGCAGGACCCAGCAGTTCTAGAAGGAAGTGATGGGCCAGCTGTGCCCAGAGGCTGTGACAGCTGATGCCAGGTCCCCAGGCTCACCGTGAAGGGGCTGTGGGTGACCTCCGCAAGAGCCCCTTTGATGGGCTGAAGAGGCAGGAGCCCCAGGGATGAGCGCTGTGGGAGCAGGAGTGGATCACTCATGCGGATGTTTGGCAAAGAGGAGAGAAGACAGGATGGTAGTTAGAGGAGTGTGTGGGTATAGGGCCTTGAGGACTCACCAGGCACGTGTGGAATGGCCTGGAGGGTGGAAAGCCCCAGAGTCCGCAGGGGTGTGTTATTCTCCACAGCCACTGTGGGGTAGGAGGGCAACTCTGCCACTTCCCCGTCTGCACGGTGACCCTGCCTACTGCCGTCACGGAACTCCAGCTCTGTGCCGGGGACTGAGGGTGGGCCTGCTTCACGCCCTCCCTTTACTGAGCCATTATCCGTATTTCCAGAAAAGAGGTTGGCTGGAACAATTCGTGATTCCATGTGTACAACCCCTTGGAGAGTGGCAAGGCCAGGAATGCTGCCAGCTCAGAGCCCTTGGCCCTCTGACAACACGACCCCCTGCATGTGGAGCCGGCCCCCAGCTTCCCAAGGCCCCGGATGCTAAAGTAGCTCTTGGGCTTGGGTGAGACTTCCGACACGTCACCCTCAGCTGCACACCAGAGGGACATTCACTCGTGTTGCATCACTAATGTGCTCCTTTCTCTGAAAAATAGGATGTATTGGAGGATGATAATACTGGCTTTAAGGCCAATAAGACTCCATCTGCCAAAACTCTGGGGAATTCTCTGAGTTGAGCTTTCTTTCACAGACCTTTGGTGAGCAGAGCTTTAATGTCAAAGGCTTGTCTCGTGTTATAGCTTGTGTTGACTCGGAAACCTCCAGCTCACAAGTGCTGCGCAAACATTATACGTTATCCGTTGGAGCACGTCTGTGTGCACGGCCTTTCTCTGGGCTCCCAGCCTGGGAGCAGGGCAGCATCTGGTGATTAAGGGGTCGCCGCAGCCCTTGGGCCAATTCTCTTTGACCCCATGGTCTGGGAGCACTTTTCAATTCCACAGACGTCTCTGGGAGTCTGGAAGTCGGCGAAACCCATTACCGTCCGCAGAGAGAGGCTGGGCCCGCCAGCTGCCCTCACCCCGCCAGCCCGTCCCACCGGATGGACAGTGAGGAGCGGCCCCTTCACAGCAGGACGTGTCTCCCTGGGCGACAAGGAGGTCAATTGCTTCCCCTCGTTAGGCCAAATGGCGCATAAACCGCCTGTCAGCACTCGTTTGGATAAAGAGAGGAAGACAGATGGACAGAAAAGCGGCCTTGTGCGGGGCCAGGAGAAGATATTTTTGACTCGGGAAGGAAAAGCACTCCTTGCCTGTGGATGTTTGTTTTGACCCCTTTGCCTGGATGGAGTGGCCACGCGCGTTCCCTCTGGCTTAGGCTGCGATGGTCTGAGACTATGTACGCTCCAGCGAGTTCGCTGAGGGACTGTGTGTCTTTCAATAGCAGGAAGGCAACTGAGAATTTACCAGTCTGATATCTTGTCTGGGTGGCAAGCTTATCTTTCAGGGACCATTTACACCTGTGCAATATAGAACCGTGGCCTGGACCGATCCCCTCCCTCGGGGCGCTAACAGTCTGTGGCGGCAGGCAGGGCAGGGACAAGCAAACTTCTCTGGGGCTTCCAAGGAGATTTGGGCCTGGAAATCTGGGTGGATAGGGGTGCAGGTGAGCACAGGGGAGGTCATCATGGGGGGCCCAGCGTGGGCAAAGGTGCAGAGGTGGGGCGGCCAGGAGGCCAGTTGTGGGAGCTCCAGGTACAGGACCCGAGTCACTGAGATAATTTGGGGACACACTCTATGACCTTGGATGTCAGACTATAGAGGTGCCTTTGAAGAGCTTGGCATCTGGGTGGACATGCCCCAGCGATGCTTTGGGAATTTTAATTTGGTGGCGGTATGGCAGGTGGAAGGGAAACCTGAGCAGTGAGCTAGGAGTCATACAAAAGGAGACAGACGTGACAGAGCACGGCCAGCCCCAAGTCCCGAAAGCTATTGTGTAATGTTCCAAGGCAATGGCCTTTACATTCAGAAATCCATTTGGCAAAGTGTCTTTGAAGATTGCCTTGTGCCACTAGCCTAAAATCTTCACTCATGTTTCCCATGATTGCTGGTAATTGCCCCAAAAGAAAAGGTCTTCATAAATCTAGTACTAGATGGTTGGCCTCACCCAGGAGTGGGAAACTTATTACAGAATTGGGGCAGAATTTCTATGCCAGGGGTCGTAGCCACATAGCTTCCTGAAAGAAAGGAAGACGAGGGGAAATTTGGCTTCTTTGCCAAATGCCAGTTCACTTTTCAATGACAACAACTAGTCAGAAAAGCTCATCTGTAAATCAGCGAGCCCCAGGTGAGTTGACACCTGCCTTGGAGTGTCCAGGTGAAGTGACACCTGTGGCCTCTCCTCTTCATAGCCCTCTCACCCTTCTTCTTCTGCAGGCAGCTGTGTGTTTATGAGCTTTATTGCAGAACTCAAATTTCAACTTAAATTCTATTCTTCCCCCCCCCCCCCCCCCCTTTCCTCCTGCCTTTCTAGTTCACCGAAAACGCTATGTGAACGGAACAGCTATGTCCCCCATGGCTCTCGTGCGGCAAGGTGGCTTCTGCCATCAGGGAAAGCCAAATTTAAATTAAACCCTTGACGCCCTGCTTGCGCGAGGTGATGGATGTGCTCCCAGGAGCTGTCTCCTCTCCAAACCGGGTCTGACCGGGAGCCGGAGGGAAGTGAGTGATGCTTCTGCAAAATACGAAGCGAATCCAATTTCCTGCTGACCTTGTGCCCCTGTATATTTGATCTCTCTTGTTTTATTTATATGTCTTTATTTCCAAAGCTTTTCTTTTTTTTTAAAGCAGCAGGTTTCTGAGTTACCACCCACCCCCACCCCAAATAAGAAAGTGAAATAGAGGGTTGACACGGGAAGGGGCACGTGGAATGAAACGAACCTGCAGGGCGTTGTTCTTGTGATGTAGCGCGAGATTCTGGAGTTGTCTAGAGTCCGTTATTGGCACGTGGTAATCACACGGTGAGTGCGGATGGCGGCGCGAGTTCTCGCCCCCGGATTCCCGCCCCGACAGAATGAGCGCGCTAAGGACGAAGAATGGCGTGTCTAGTGTTGTTCTAAAGCATCTGAGTGGGATCCCAGGGAGCACTCAGGCAGCTCTCGGCGTCCCTTTCTCTCAGAACCCCTCGCAGGCCTCACGCCTCGGGGGGCAGCTCGCAGCCTTTGTGCCAGAGCGAAGGCCTCCACAGCCCGAGCACCTGCCCCCGCGCCAGCCTGGTTTAAAGAGGGGAGATGAAGGGTACCGGCCATGTGATTGAAGTGGCGGGAGATGAGCGTGGCAGAAATGTAATTACCTGAGCTGGAATCGGAACAAGCCGCAGGGGCCCGCCCCACCTTCCCCAGCCTCCTCCGGAGCTCATTATTTGCAAGCGCATCCCCAAAGCAATTCTGAAATAACACGAGGATCCAGAAATTGTTTTCTGAAATAGCACAGGGGCGCGGGGCAGTGCTCACGTGACGTGTGTGCCGTGCTCATCACATCCAAGCACGGGCCGTGCGGGCCGCGAGGCCCTAGCGCAGGGACGGCGCGGCCGGGCCCGCCGTGCCCCACAGGACGGGCAGGGCGAAGAGGGGCCAGAAAGCGGAGGGGGCTTGGCCTTCGCCCTCAGATTCCGAGGCCTCTGCAGGCAGAAGAGGAGTCCGCCCAAGAAGAAAGCTGCAGAGGCTCAGTGACTGTTCAGCTCCCGGCGAGCGCCACAGCTTGCTACCCACTCCACCAGGACAGGGTGGCATCTGATGGTGTCCTCAGGGCGGCAAGGCCACATTCAGACTGGCACCTTGTCCTGTGTGGACCTGGACCCTGAGCCCGAGCCCAGGCAGGGAGGACAGCCTTGGGAGCAGCCTCTCGACCCCCTCTGCGGAGACGAAAGGGAAGAGAGAGCACATGGCAGCTCTGGGCGACTTCAGGAGCTCACTCAGGCCAGGACCATTTGTTAAATTCCCATTCTGTGTTCCCACTGTGCTGGCAGAAGGCACAGTGGGCCTCATGCCTCTTTGTCCCTCGTGGCCTGTTTTCTTCCTGGAGCAGAAGCTGAGAGGAGAGAGAGTGGTTGAGACGGGCATGTTGGAAGTGAGGACAGGGACTGTCCTAAGCCCTGCAGTGACTCTGGGAGTTCCTATGTGGCCTTTGTCCCAGAGAATGCCCATATGGTTAAGGTGCAAAGCTCAGGGTGGCTCTGTGGCCCTGACAGGTGTCCTGATTGAAAAAGGTCAGAGACTGGGCTTTGGCCTTGGCAAGGGAAAGTTCAGTGCTCACACCCCACCCCCACATTTCGGGGAGGGTAGTGGAAGTACACGGCCATTAACACTTCTTCCTGGGAGACCAGCTTCAAAGTCAGCCTGCTGCCTGGGGCTGTTGTACCGTGTTCCTGGGTCCCACCGATGCTCACCTTGATGCTTTACATTTCTTGTTGCAGGTTACAAGTTCAGATCAGCAAGTGGCTGAGACTAGCTCCGGGGACCCAAATGCCACTGCTGTCTTCAGCACACCAGGTAATATTACCCCTTTCAGTATTTGGAGTGATAAGTTTCTATTTGTCACCAATGTCTCTTTTCCTCCTCCTGTTTCCTTCCCTTCTCCTCTGCCTACTCTCCTCCCTCCCTTTCTTATTCTTTAAAGGGGTGGGGTTTGCTATAGCCTGTCCTGTTGAGTACCAGATAATCTCTCCACAGTTCTTCCCTTACCTGCATCCAACAAGTCAGTGTACCTGGAAGACCTCACACTTCCTCTGCGCGGCTTTGTCACCTCCCCACACAGCCCCATCTCTCTCACTTGAGGGCTATGGCTTTGAAGAAGAGTGTGCCACCCCAGCTGAGGTCCACCCTTTCCAGAGCAACAGTTGTACGTGCCGGGTTATGGCCACTCGGTGCCTCCCACAGAAGGAGGTGGCTGGCTGGGGGACTTCACAGGGAGAGGTGGGAAGGAAGGCAAAGGCTGGAGGTCTGTCCTTGAAGGCACTGAAGGACAGGTGTGAAGGGTCAGATTCCCGAACACAGAGGGTGGGAGCAGTGCAGAGCTGGGGGTGGGGAAGGTGGTCCCAGGTGTCAGGAAAGCAGACAACCCTTCCTAGCGGAGGGAGCAAGTGTTCTGCGTTTCCAGGGGGCCACCTTCTCGAGGTCCCCAGGCGGGCTCATGTGGGCTGGTTTATGTGGAGACCAAAGTCAGATAACTCATGAGATTCCCACAAAGGACCACGATTATAGGGCTCTCTGTCCTCTCCCCAAACACTTAGCATCTACGAGAAATAGGAAGGGGTTGCATCCGGGTCTCTGCAGTCGTGGGATTCAGACGTGATCTTGTCCTTCCCTTGGTCTCTCCAGGGAGCCATCAGAAACTGTCCAAGAGGTGGTGTCCGACGTCCTTCCCAGGGGCTACCCCAGGGTGCTGTGTGTCCCAGTCCTCTGTCACAGGGTGACCACACCAGCCTGCTGCATTCCAGGGTCTGGGCTGAGGGGGTCTGCAGCCTGGCCCCACCTATTCCAGCCACGTGACTCTTACAAATCGAATGTTCTTACGGGAAACAAGGTTGGAAAGTCACCACAGCCTGTCGACTCCTAGAGCCCCTTCCTGTTTGTTCTGTTTATGCAGGTGGAGATGACAGAGGAGCCTGGGTGCCCAGGGCTGCCCCCTCCTCACTGCCAGGACCTGGGCGGTTAACTCCGTAGCTGACCCAGACACCCAGGGGTGCTTCCAACACCAGACTCCTGGCTGGGGTGCGCAGCCCCCGCGGGGTCAGGAATCTGCGAGGAAGTACTGACAGGCTCGCAGGGCCCCCGTCAGGCAGGTTAAACTGCAGGAAAGGTGCCTTCCTCTGGGTAGTGACTACAGAGGAGTCAGGTCGAGGTCCAGGTTCATGGGGCGGGCCAGGACATTCATTGATTCTGCACCTTTGTCACAAAGCAGTTTGGCACCTTTCTGTGGATCTATTTCTGGGTTCTCTGTTCCGCCCCGTTGATCCAGTGCCTGCTGCCCGGCCTGCGTCTCAGTGTCTCGGTGACGGGCTCCAGCATCAGCCTTCGCACCTGCAGGAGCGGGTCCTCCACTGCATTCTCCTTTCCAAGCTTGCCTTAGCTATTCCAGGGCCTGTGCCTTCCCATATACGTTTTAGAATCAGCGTATCTGTGTCTTCAAAAGTCCTTGCCAGGATTCTGATCAGAATTGCTTTACACCAAGAGAGCAGTCAGGAGAGAATTGACACTCTCCTCCACTGAGCCTCCAATGCACGGCTGGAGTATGTCTCTCCTTTCATTGATGTCTTTCATCTCCACGTTATCATTTTCAGCATGCAGAGCCTGTGCGTGTTTTGTGAGGGGGTACACTTAAGTATTTCGTTTTCTCCAGAGCTATTGATTGTAAATGGTATTGTGTTTAATTTCTGTTACTGCACGATCATTGCTAGTACAGTTGATTGTGATACAGTTGTGCTTAGTTCTTGTGTGTGGGTCTTGCATCCTGCCACCTTGCAGAACTCACTTGTTCTAGAAATTTTTTTTTTTTATAGATTTTGGTTTATTTTTCATCTAATAAAATAACAAAATAGTAACGAGGACGTGGGTGCTGGCAGGTCCACAGGGAAGCCGTTCCCCACAGTCCTGACTGGCAGCTTGTCAGGCAGCCCGGGTTGCACCCCCTGCATGGTGGGCAGCCCCCCAGGACCGGGCTGGGATGCCTCGATGTCCCTCATTGCTCCTGCCTTTCCCTGTACAGGCCATGCTCGTCAGCCTCCTTCTGACCAAAGCGCCTGATTTCTGACTTTCAGTCTCTTGTGCAATGTGAAGTGTCTAAGCCCCCTCCACCCATGCCCTTCCTCGAATGATTCTTGGGAGGTCATCTGGTGTCCCCAACTTTCAACACCAGAGAGTAGCGTTTGTCAGCCTGGCTTGGTGCTTCCATACCCACAGAGTTCAGAGTTTATCCGGTGTTGAGGTTTGAAGGGCAGGGGCTGTCCCACATTGGGCGGCCGCCATGTTGCCCACCCTAATGCTGTGTCCTTTCTCTTGCAGCACCGGCCGACAGCGCAAACCTCCTGGTGTCCGAGGGTGCCGCCGCACCGGGTCCCAGCCACCCATCCCCTGACAGCCCCATGGGTGTCCCGCCCCCCGCCCCCCGCCTTGCTTGCACATCTCTGGAGGATCCCAGCACAGACAAGCAGACACAGCAAGGTCCCAGGCATGTGTCCCGCTCCACCAGCGACCCCACTTCATGCACATCTGGAGCAGCAGGTACGGCTGGCCAGGCTCCCCTGTGTCCCTAGGGGGTGGATGGCTTGCCTTGGACACTGTAGCTCTCAGTGACCCCTGTGAGCTGAGGCACGGCCCTGGGAGGTCCAGGGCCACAGGGAATGTGGTCTTGATGCCTGAAGCCACTGAGCTGGGCGTGGGTGGTGAGCAACCTGTGGGTCCCTGCTGTGTCCCCATCAGGCTTGTCATTCTGGCAGAGGAAGAAGGATTTGAGAGTTTAGGATGATAAGAGCCCACCAGGCGGCTCAGCCAGCCCCAGACACTACCTGTGGTGCTGAACACCCGCTCTGGGGTCCAGGACAGGTGACCACAGGCAGTGTCTCTGGGTGGGGGGGTATCCTCCAGTGGGAGCTACCCCAGGCAGACACAGGTATGTTTTCTGCAGCACTTCACGGGCACTCTTGGCAGTGCTCCCTGGGGTTTGCATTGAATCTCCCCAGTGACTGTTTGAGGGGCAGTGCCCTGGGCTGTAGGACCTGACATCCAGTCCCCATGCCAGTGGCCCAGGGGTTTGCATTTCACACGAGCTTCCCTGGGAGTCTTATGTGCCCTGCAGTTGCAGAACTTGCACCCTGTTCTTCTTGCTGGTTTTTTTTTTTTGAGGGTACAGTTTCTGCCAGGAAAGATTGGTGGGGCTTTGACTGTAATGCCATCACAGTGGGGACTTTTTTGCAGAACCCTAAAGAGGGCCCAGTGGATCCTGGATAGTCTCACCTCAGTGATGTTGTCCAGCCGAGCCCCAAATAGACGAGAGCCTGGCTGGGCTGGGAGGACGGAGCCCCTCAGTGAGGGCTCGTGTGCACTCACTGAGGTCAGGGGGCCTATCCCCTGCACTTGGAGGGGCTCAGGGCCTGCTCTGTGCTCCCCATGTCTTTCTTCACCTGCCCCAAGTGAAATTCATGCTTTGTGACCTGTGACATGTGAGGGCTGGAGCTGAAGGGAGAGGTGATCACGGTTCCTTCTCGATACCCTTGCATCACCTGTCACCCCCGTGTCCTCTTGGCTGGGCACGGCGCTTTTCTGGGGTCCCAGGAGCACCTCCCATGTGGGTGGGTGTGCCAGCAAAGGGTGCTGGGCTTTGTCCGAGCCACGGTGGGCCTGGCCGTTGCAGGGCTGTTCCTATCTTAATCTGCTGATGGCTTAGGTTCGGTCAGCAGGTTTCTCCTGCTTGTCTGACATCTAAAATATACATCTAAGCCACGCCACACACAGGTTATTGTAGTTTTATCAGTAATTCCTTTTCCTGTTTCATGTGTTCACTGTTCATTCTCTTTCTGGTTAAGGTGATGCCTCCTCACACACAGCCTTGTGCAGCCAGGACCTAGAAGCAGGGCTGTCTCGGGCTGTTCCGGGGACCGGTGAGGTGCACCTTTTCTGAATCCGTTTGACTGCACCTGCAGGAAGTGGGGGTGGGGGTGCCCCGTGGGTCCCTGGCTGCATTGCCTCTAAGTGCAGCCCTCACACCATCACCCACGAGTGCGAGTTCCCAACTCTCTGGGCGTCAAAAGTGCCTTTCCCTTCCCTTCTCTCTTGGCACGCCTGTATTGGAGGCCATAGCTAATTTAACGTACGTGTGCCTGCTGCTTCTCTTATTCATGAGATTTTATTTGGGCGGGGGGCATTCTTACAGTTTCTCATGTTGAATTGCTGGGCTTGCTCGTTGCCACAAAAAGGACCCCAGAACAGACTACCCACACGTGTTTACTTTGTGTGATTTCAAATTCAGGCGGGGCACGTCAGGCTCTGATCTGGGCCTTGGTGAGCTGATCACAGCTGGGTTTCGCGGAGGGGCCCTCAGACTGGTGTTCGTTCCGTGGGTCATGCAGAGCAGCTGTCGGCCTTGTTGGGGGGCAGAGCCCCGTTCCTGGCAGTCAGTGGGGACAGGGCCCTGGATGGTGGCTGCTGTCACACGGGGCATGGTGCAGGGGGTCTCATTTTCCCTCTGCCACCCCTAGCCCTGGTCCTAACGCAGATTCCATCTCTAGATGGCACCATTCTGCCCTGCAAGAGATCAGACCCAGAGGGCACAGGTCACTGAGCTGGGAAGACTGCAAAGGGTCCGGCTCCTGTTCCCGCAGGGCCCTGGTCCCCAGCCCTCCAGCTCTGGGAGGCCGCAGCCCCCCGAGGTTAACACCAGCTGGTCTCAGGGCTGAGAGGGGATGACGGGACAAGGGAAGCAGGGCACGCCCGGGGAGCCAGCCCAGGAACTCAGAAAACTGAGCATGCTTTTCTTTGCTTTTTAAAGAACTTATGACAGCTGCCTTTTGTTTTATTTCCAGTAGTTTTTGAATTATATCTTTTCCCTTGACTTTTAGTTTCCAAGTCTCGCTCTGCTGTGGCTGCCTGTCGGCCCCAGCTTTCACCACCTGGGGACCCAGACACCTGGAAAATCAGCCAACAGCCAGTGCCAGAGGTCTTCCCAGCGGTCTCCAAAGAGCGGCCACACTCTTTAGTGGACAGCAAGGCCTATGCAGACACCAGAGTCTTGGTGGCTAAGTTTTTGGAACACTCGCACTGTGCCCTCCCTCCCGAGGTGCGGCACGTGGTGGGCGCCATCCGCGCGGCAGTGTCGTCCGAGGAGCGCCCCCTGGAGGAGGCTGTCTTCAGTGCTGGCGTCCCGGACCAGGTATGAAGGAGCCCCAGGTCTAGATGTGGACACCGACAGGACTGGAGCCATCGACATTCTTGCCAGAAGCCACCGTCCTGGCACAGAACCATCGAGGGGACACCTGGGAGTATCTCACAGTGGCTCATCAGGGGACAGTTATTCCCTGTCTTGAGGTGGATCCGATCAGTTGTTTCCTTGGGGATTCCATTTCCTACCTAGTCCAGTAATTCAGAAAGATGACTCACATCCCTGGTGAACTCATTGGTTTTATCTGGTGTGTGGCACCTTGAACTGAGCATAAATACGAATACAGCAACAGGAGACACTCGTGTAATTTAAAGACCCTAAATGTCTTCAAAATCAGGGCTGTCAAAACCAAGATTCTGCTTGTCCCCAGTTCAGGTTTAGTGTTAAGTGGACAGAGGACGACATCAAGCAATGAGACCATTTTCTCATGCAGTTTGCATCGCCCTGTAACCAAACACTTACCGTATTCTGACCTATTCCTTTAAAAGGAAATAGGTAATTTTAGCACAGATGGCAGCCTGGGCCCACCTCTGTCTGCAGGTCACAGGGCTATCGTATGAGTAGGCACACGTGAGGGACTCCACGGCTGCACAGCCACCCCTGAAGGCAGGTGGGGCCTGCAGGGGCCTGGAAGAATCCACGATCTCCTAGTCTCCCTCGGCCTCCATCTGTGGGGCCTCCCCACTGTCTCCCTGGGCTCTTTCTGCCATCTGCCGTCCTATACCTGGAGCAGACACACTATAGTTGTTGTTTGTTCCCTAACAATAAGCACCTGTTCTAAGCCCCTCTGGGGGCTTTCCCTCATGTCTGGCCTCACCTCACTGGCCTCGGTGGGTCAAGGTCTGAGGGGAGAGGCCTGCTTCTCCAGGATGTGGGTACCTACCCATCGAGTGGCAGTAGACACATCTGCATGGGAGGATGCAGATTGCAAACCGTTTATTTCCAGGAAAATGCCCACAGTGTTGGTTGTGCAGAAGCAGGCAAGCCCAGCCGGGGTGTGTCTTCCGTGCCTTTGGACAACTTGGGCGCATTTGACTTTTTCCAAACCTTCCTCCAGCCCCTTGTTTTCTGGCATCAGCAGCAGCAGCGGGTTCCCGACAATGGCCCTGGATCAGCACCATCCACTGGAACTTTCTGCAGTGATGCAAACGCCTGTATCTGGGCGGCCAAAGCTGCCGCCACTGGCACATGGGGCTGCTGAGCCCTTGACTGTAGCTGGTGGCCCCTGCGTTGGACGATGCAGCCCCAGCCTGCAGGTCTCATAAGAGAGCCCGTGGGCCTGGCACAGGGGGTGCAGGGGGAACCAGAAAGGTGCCCACCACTGCTGGGCTCTTGCTTTCCTCTGTCCTCGAACCCCTGCCCCCTCCCTCAGTCCCCAGTGTGTTGGGGAGCTTCTGTGTGGCGGAAAGCTGGGCCCCGCAACCTGAGGTGTGGGAATCCCCCAGCCATGGTCACCTGCCAAGGCTTTGAGGCTCATTGATGTTATTGGTTGTTGTTTCCCAGAGGTTAGAGAGCTGGAAAAATATAAATCAGGCCTTTCAATGACAACCCTAACTTTTCCATGAGAGATGTACTAGAGGTGAACTTATGAGCACTTTATTCAGACTATGAAACAGGAAATTTCTAATGTTTCTCAAGTGAGAGATTTGCAGTCCCCCAAATAAGTCTCTTTGCAGGTGCAATTAATGGACGGATTTTCAGAAGGGTCTCCCCTGAGTCTGTGAGCAAAGCTTTAACGCCCGGGGCCCTGGGCTCAGAACCTGCACCATCTCCAAGGTGTGAGCCAGAGCCACCAGCTGCAGGGGTTTTGCCTGTTTGGGGAGTTCACGCCAGGATTGGGGGAGCATACAGCAGTGTCCCTCAGGTGGGCTAGGGCTGCAGTTCTCAGACCTGGCTGCAATTCCCATGAGGCCAAGACGCCCGCACCCTGTGGACTCAGCCTCTGGGCACGTCCACTGTGCAGCCAGGGTGAGGCACTGCTGGGCCACCCAGCCTGGTGCTCTGAATCCTGCCCTTCACCTCTCCGCAGCAGGACCTTGTCCTGTCTGTCCCCGGGCTCCTCCCCCAGGCGGTGCCTCCCCCAGGTGCAGGGCGATAGTCCCAGGGGTTTCCAAGTGTCCTGCCATTCACACCTTAACCGCACTTGACAGCTCTGTTTGTGGATCAGGAAACCGTACCTAACTATGCCACTGGGCTGGAGCCTTCTGCCTTCTAGAAACAAGGCTGTCAGGGGCGGTGGCAGGGAGCCCTTTTGGGCCTACCTGCTCAGGGCTACCTGTGTGCTCTGGGAAGGCCCAGGCTCTGGGCTTCCAGGAAAGGTTCCCCAGAAGACAGAGGTGCCAGTTAGAGCCACTAGAGAATGTACTGGCAGCTTAACTCACCACCTATGGTACCCTGAGAGCCCGGCTCCGGGGCACCTGGGCACTAGAGCTCTGGCAGTGGGCACCCGGCCTCAGGCCGTGTCGGCTCACGGCCGCGAGGAGAGCTGGCGTCCCCCCACCGGCACACCTTCCCACTGGGGGCCTCATCTCCTACTCCCGTTTGGGTATCTGAAATGGGCCCAACTGCGGCTGTTTGGGAGGTGACCCTCTCCTTTTATGGCTCACTGGGTCTTGGGCACTCTCCCAGCCCACTCCCAAGACCCGTGGGGGCAGCACCTGCTAGGACGCCGCCATTTACCTGGCTTGGAGGTCTCTCGGGATGCTGAGGTGGGGGAACTCTGCACCCCAACTCTGTGGCAGGCAAGGTGGGGACACTGTTCACAAGGACTTAAGGTTTCCTTCAGGTGGAGACCATGATCCAAATTAAATGCTCGTGACAAGCCCTGTGACAGAAAGCTCATTTCAAAAGGATGTTTTTCCCCTCACCTGTACTGACTCCCAGAGGCTGCTAAGGCAGAATTTATAAGAAATTGTTTTCAAGCCACCAGAGACCTGTTTGTACAACTGCAAAGGTTGTATTTATTTAATGTACCTCAAGGTGTTTTAATAATGATAAGTGTTTTAATAAAAAATATTTCTGGCCTCTGTGTCTCTGAGGTCTGATTGGGCCCGCGTGCGCCACTGGCGGAGAGCAGGGCCGCCCCACCCCACCAGGAGCGTGAGGCAGCCACAGCCGCCTGCTAGGCTTCCTGGGAGCCTTCTGGAACAGTTCAGCTCTTGGGGCGGGAGGGGAGGAGAGCAGGTGCGGACCCAGGCAGGTCCTGCCCATACTGACACCTACACCTCCATGGGTGCGACATCTGAGGGCTTCCAGGAGGAACACAAGCCTGCAGCCCACAGTTTCCTTGGATGTGGGTTTTTAAAAATGTGCATCATTTGGTGGGAATCCCACCCCGTTCTCACCTGCCAGCCACGAGCCTCCTTCTGCCTTGTCTGAGGCATTACTGGAATGTTCCCCTTGGCTTCCTGAGTGAGGCCCCTTCCTTCCAGCTTTGGCTCAGGTGACGTTTCCTTTCATTCCCCAAGGATGTGGGCCATCCCTGGCTAGCAGTTCTTGTTTCTTGGCCAAGTGAAGAATTTTATTTTGCTTTTAATTCTTCAGCATGTCCAGGGGGAGGGAAGGCCTTTATGCCGCTCTTTATAATGGAATTTCCTACTGAACATTTTTCTTTGCATCTGCCATGCATACTTTCTGGGAAAAGAAAGGTGTGGAGCTGGAGTTCACGTTGAGAGGTTTACATGGCCCTGATGGCCAAAAGTGAGTTCAGGTGAGCTCTTAGCACATGTCTTCCGGGTGGCCAGGTGAGAATGTGTTCTCACTCTGCAGTTCCCCAAGAATGCCTGGCCCTGGAGGTGCCTGGTCAGTGGCTCACGGCGTGGAGCACACACTGCCGTGGGCAGGCCAGAGAGGAGCGGTCCGGCCGCTCCAGGGCCCCCAGGCTAACACTGCTGGAACCCCCACCCCGTGGCCTTCTGAACAAAGCCCACATCTACCTCCACGGCCTCCACATGCCAGGTGAGTGGCAGCAGGATGGTGGCCACGGGGAAAGGTAAGTGGTGGGAGAGCTGCCGGAGTCTTGTTATTCTAGCCAGGCTGCAAGGGAGCTCACGAGGCAGGGAAGGTTCTGGCACGGGTGCTGCAACAGTCTCTTACACACCACCCCTCTCCTGGAGGTAATTTAAATTTATATGTGGAGAATCCCAAGGCTCCATGTCTTCCCGTATTTAATCAGGCAGTACCCTGCCAGCCATGCCTCCTCTCTGGGGGTGGGTGGAGAACGAGGGATGGGCCAGCGACTGGTCACCATGGCTGGCTGCTGCAGGGCACTGCCCACCTGACACCTGGATCGCCCACCCTCCCACCTCGTCAGTGATGGCTCCTGAGGCCACCCGAGACCCTCGCAGGAAGCTGAGCAGCCGCTGCCACTGCCGCCACACAGCACACTTGCGGAGCCTCGAGCTGAGATCGCGAAGTCTGAGGACAGGCGGGCACCCGCCATCAGTTAACAAACCAGCCACACGAAGAGCTTTTCATCAGGACTTCAGGTTTATTAGTGATATGCACGAAGTCTTCCTAAGGTCAGCTGCATGCAACACACGGGCACTCCTCAAATACAGTAATCCTAAAGCTTTAGTTACTGCGTGGTAAGGCTTCTTAAGTCACAGTGTATTCTTCAAGGCCTGGGCCAAAAAAAGAGACTTCGGACAAAATGACGTCAGTTAACATGGATCTCTAGTGGACTGAGCTAGACTATATCTGACTTATCTACACACGCACCAACACTGCCCAGGGCGGCTGCCTCGGGAGTGGCAGAGGTCGGGATTCCTGGTGTGGGTTTTGTTTTTTCCGGGGGGGCACGCACAGGTGTGGATGTGTGTGTGTAGATAGATTTCAAATGGGGGGCACACACCCGTGCTCCCCGTGTTCCTGGCAGGACAGCGAGCGGGTCCCACCAGCGGGAGCCCTGCCCGGGAGGGAGGGTGCCCAGGGCGGGCAGGAGAAGCAGGTGTGGTCCCGGGTCACCATGGGAAGACCCTATCGTCTGAATGACGGCTTGCCAAAATAAAAGTCCAAACGGCAGCATTATCTAAATAAATATGGAGTTTTGATGTTGTGGCCATCATCCTTTATTTACAATCAATCACATGTCCCCAAACTTTCATTACCAGTCACATCCTGGGAACTGGGCTGCCACATTCCTGCAGAAGCAGCAGAGAAAGCAGCCGTTGGGGACTGTCAGAGCCCCCACCCCCCAGGACCCAGACGTCCCAGCCGAGGGGTGGCCGTTGGCCTGCTCGGGGACGCGGCCCTTGGAGGCCTCCGTTCAGGCCACCCGGCAGGTGCCCACGTTCACTCTCTACAGCTTCAGGGAGAAAAGACACACACTCCACACCACACACAGGGACCAGGACACACCCCCGGTCCGTCGCAGTGAGAAAACGTTCAGAACGTGGCAAAATACTTGACTGTTTTACAAAGATTTGTTCCTGTGACTCTCCTTTGATAAAGATATACTCCTTTTTGGCAAAATAAAAAAAAAAAGTGGGTGGCGAGGGCACGACCTTTGGGGAGCCAGTGTCCCTGCTGGGCTGTGGGGTCAGGGGTCAGGTCCTCGGCCCGGGTCTGGCTCTGGCTCCCCTGGGCCCGGGCAGGCCTGCCTGGCGTCCAGCTCCGCGGTGTGGCCAGGCTGTGGCCTAGATGTACAGCGGGGTCTCCTGGCCCGTGAGGAGCCTGAACATGGCGGCGGGCATGGTCTTCATGTGAATCTGCCAACAGAGACAGGAGCTGAGCCTCGCTCGCCCGCCCACCCCTCCATGCAATCTGGTGACAACAAGCAATGGATGTGAAAACCCCGCGTTTCCGGTGTGAAATGCCAGTCTTTAGAGGGAAGGCAAAAGAAGGGCCTGCCAGGCCCATGGTGACCTAGAAACCTCCCCGGACGTGCAGGCTGCGATCGCGTCCGCACCCCGTCTTTAGAGGGCTCTAGAGGGTGAGTGCTAGTTTTGTTTTCAGTTTAACATGGGAGGGGGGTGAGAAGTTGGGCTTTTAATGGAGACAACAGTTTGGCCACTGGCTGGGGCAGGCCAGGGGTGCCCTGGCCTCCGAAGCCCGTGCAAGGTGTGCGCTTTGCTTCAGTGAGTAGGACTCGGGGGAGGGGGGAGCGCAGAGAAACACACCCCTTCCCACGGAACTGCAGCTAAGGCAAGTTCCCGAGGGCTGGGGACTGGCTTGCAGGGGTCGGGGGGCTCAGGTCCCCCATCCTCTGGGGATCAGTTAGCAAATGACCCTTTAGGCCCTGGCCTCGATCCCTGGCTCCAAAGGGGCTGCGTATACAAGCAACCTGCAACCGCTCCCCAGGGACACCAACTTGTGGGGTGCCTCCCAATAATCCTTCTTTGGGGACACTGGGAAGAGGCATGTAGAGGCAGGAAGACACTAACGCTCTGGAAGCAAAGTGACAGTGGGCTCTGTGCTTCGGCCCCATGGCCTGCAGTGCCCACTCCTCTAGAGAGCCTGCGCCCTGAGCAGTCTGCTGCCATGCCAACGGTGCTGCTGGACGCCCCTCTGGGTGCCCAGTGGGGTGCAGTGCCCCCCCCCCCCCCCCCCCGGTCAAGCAGGTCTCAAGCCCTGGTCTGACCACCCACACAGGTACCCCCTGCAGATGCGTCCTCCCACCTGCCCCACCAGGAGCCCTTGGATGAGCTTTTCCCGTAGGGAGGGAGGCTCACAGGGCAAGACGGAGCACAGAGGACCCAGCTAGCAGGGGATGCCCAAGGAGGTCCTGGCAGGCCAGGCTCTCCTAAGAAGGGTGGGTTTTCCCTGGGGCGTGGGGACCGACGGCTTTCCTGAGCACACCATATGCCCCTAGCCTCGGGTCCTGGCTTCAGGAAAGTGGCGGGGGCGGCGGGGCAGGGACAGGGATGATCTTACCTCCCCGACCGAGTTGGACAGAGCTTGGACAATCTTCTCGTGGGCTGTGGCCACCACGCTCTGCCCATTGATCTCGATGATGCGGTGGCCGACACGGACGCCCCCTCGCTCGGCAATGCCCCCTCTCATGAGGCTGCAGATCTAAGCAGACGCGGCAGGTCAGCACACACGTCCACGCCACCCCTGACAGGTGCTTCACGGGGTCCCCAAAGGAGGGACCCACAGAGGGGAAAGCCCTGTGTGATGACTGCTCCTACCTGCAATTTGTTAACTCATGAACAGGGAGATTTGGAGTTGGAATATATTTTTTTTTCTTTTTTTTTAAAAAGGGTCAAAGCTAGGGTATGTGGGGAGCCATCCAGGCCCTTGGACCCCCGTGATAGAATCTGTCCCCCGCCCCACGCCATGCCACAGCCTTTGCTCCTGGCGTTGGTGGGGGCGGAGGGTGGGTGATGTGCACAGTTAGTGCACATTCCAGATCCAATTCCCTGCCAGCCGCAAGCTGCTCCTGTTCCAAGGGAAGACAATCAGCCCTTCCCACCTTGGGGAGAAGCAAGGTGATGGACTCATGAGCTGACAAATGGAGAGAATCTGGGAAAGTGACAAGGACGCCCCTAAGTTTGTCTCCACCATTTTCAAATTCACTACAAGTCAAAGCATTAGAAACGTGAGCTTCCATGCAGACACCGTGAGCTTCCACGCAGACACCGGGGAGAGGACAGCAGACCCCTGGGGGCAAGGCCTAGGGCTCACGGAAACAAGGGGGCCAAAGCTGCACCCGACAGCTCCCGAGGGGCTCCGGGAACACCTCTGGCCTCGGCAATACCCACCAAGGGCGTGGAAAGGAAGGCACCATGGCAGGAGCAGGGGCCAAAGTCTGGGGGCTCCCACACCCCTTCAGCCCCGGCTGGAGATGCAGTGAAGGGGGACAGGGAAGGACCAGCCTCCCCCTACCACTAGCTGCTTCCAAGGGGCCAGGGGATATCAGCCACCGACAGAGCGGGGAAGAGCTGGGCACACAGGCAGCAACCCCCCTGGAGTGGGGCGTCCCGAGAGCAGCCACACCCGCACCTAGAGGTCTCGCTTGTTCCCCACAACCCGGCAGCATCACCGTCCAGGGCTGTACCACATCAGCTGGCTTGAGGATGAGGAAGAGGAGCTCCGAGCTGGGCAGGGAGGCTCAGGCTAGTGGGAGCCTGACCCAGAGTGCCCCGTGACCTGGAGCCTCAACAAATTCACAGTGGCCTTCTGTCCTTGGGGTTCCTCGATCTGAGGCTCCTGGCAGTCCAGCTACTGTCTCACTAGCGTTTCTGTGACTTTTTAAGGGTTCTTATACTTTAACAGGCAGGGGCCATGACCCAGGGTCAGGAAGGGCGACTCTGGTCACTCTAAAGGCCGGCACAGGTGTGAGTGGTGGGAGAGCCCAGGCAGCAAGGCGGGCCCTTCTCGCCCACGTGGCTGATCCTGTCCCTCTATGGGAAGGCTCTACCTTATGGGGGCTATTCTGGGTGCCCTGAAGTGAACACCCTCCCCTTCCGCCTCACCCCACCGGTCCCCTCAGCAGGGCCCTGACTGCCGGGGGCCCACTGGAGGTCGGCCCCACCTTCCGATGGGACTGCTCCCCTGCCTGCCCCATGCTGTCCCTCAGCGCCAGCCACCGCATCTCTTAAGGCTGAGACAGGCTTAAAAGTCCACCGCCCACAGGACTCCCATCTGTCGTTTATTTTGTGAGCTTTGCTTTGTCACAAACTCCACAGGCTTTTCCAAGCTGACCACATGTGTGTGGGTCCTGCCATGGTAGCTGCCATCCCCAGCACTCAGCATCCCTCCCTTTCTAGAAGGAGATGCTCTGGTTTGGCTGGAGACACAGGTGCAGACTGATACCACAGCCACAGCCACTGCCACCTGGCCACCTGGACTTCTGCAGCAGGGCCTGGTTACCGACCCGGAAGCCAGGACTTGGCCCAGCAGGCTTGGCTGGGAGCTGGGCAGAGAAATAGAGGCAGCCCGTCCCCTGGCCACTGTTGTCTAGAAAGGTGGAGCCCCTGTTCTGCCTCATGAAGGCTCTGCTCACCTGATTGCCAAACATTTGTGTCAAACATTACTGGTTCTTTGAAGATCCAGAAGGAGGTGCTTCAGGGCAGCCAGGCTCACTTCTCCAGTCTGGCCAAGAGCTAGGACGCTCCTTAGAAAGTGCTAGTTTGATCAGATCCCTAATGGCTGCTGTCTTCCTAGTGCTGGAGATTCCAGAAAAGACACAGGCGGGAAAGGAGGGCAGGGGGTGGAAGTGGGTTGGTGCCGTTACAGAGGGCTGCTGGGAGGGTGGGCTCAGACCCTGGGGGTGTCTGGGGACAGGCTGGCAGGGAGTAGGGGAGGGAGACAGGAGGTGCTGAGGGGCCAAGCTGAAGCATGTCCGGCAAGAAACGGACGGCGGCACGTTGTAAGCGCGTGGGTGCGCTTCTCAAGAGGAAGGATTTCTTGAAGGGATTGTAGGAAGAGAGAGCAGGATCCATTGGGAGGAGTGTCAATTGTGTTATCTAGGCCTGTCTGCAAACTGATGCATTGTACTTGGGGTGTAATGAGGCTGAAATGGAAAAGGCACTTGTGCAAAACTCGCTCAGATGTGTGCAGACCCCTTCTCAGATGAGGAGGCTCGCGGAGACTACGGCCATGAGTCCGCACAGTGCTCCCTGTGGGCTCAGCAGCTACACTGTCCGCCCGGCCACCACCTAACGTGCACTTCTGTTGCTTGGTTATTGACGTTCTGGGCCCTAGATACACACCAGCCTCTGCACTGGTCACAAATGCCCCCGATCCACCTGTATGCCCTCTCTGATACGCTGGCACCATGCAAAGCATCTGGTGAGGGGCAGTGAGTGTGTCCAGCAGGCCTCAGGCCCAACCTGGCTCTGCCACCTCCCAGCTGGGAGACTCAGGGCAAGTCACTTCGCCACTCTGTTCCTCAGTCCTCACCTGTGACATGGCGACAGACAATGCCACCCCATAACTGGACCAGGGATGCCCTGGGTCTGCAGGGTGGGTTTGCCCATGGTGGGGGGGCTTCCATTTCCAGGGTCCTAGAACTGACCCCAGACAGATGGACCGGAGGGGGTGGAAGCACCGTGGCAGTGAAACTAGACAGACCGCATGCTCCTGGTCACAGCAGCTGGGAGGTGGCAGCAACCCAAGTGTCCATTGACGGACGGTGGATGAACACAATGAGGTCTGTACACAGCGGACTAGTCTTCAGCCTCGCAGAGACTCTGACACAGGCTACAACAAGGAGGGACCTGGAGGACATTATGCTGAGCGAAATAAACCAGTCAAGAGAGGATAGGTACGGAATGGCTCCACTTATACAAGGTCCCTAGAGCAGTCAGACTCATAGAGACAGAAAGCAGAACGGCGGGTGCCAGGGCCTGGGGTCAGGGACAGGGGCCGTTAGTGTTTTGTGGGTGCAGAGTTTCAGTTTGGGAAGATGACAAAGTTCCGGAGAAGGATGGTGGTGGCGGCTGCACAATAGTGTGAGTGTGCTTGATGCCACTGAACTGCGCACTTGAAAATGATCCAGATGTTACGTTTCATGTTATGTGTGTTTCACCACAATTATTTAAGAGAAAAAAAAATGAAAACAAAAACAAGAAAAACAGACGTCCTAGGAGAGTTGAACAGCTAGGGTCTGGGATAAGGTTATTGTCCAGTGGGTTAGAGAGGCACAGATGTACCTGTCACACACACACACACACACACACACACACACACACACACACACACACACACACACAACTGTGTGGAGCTCCCTCCCCCCACCTCCCACACTCTAGCACCCAGACTTATGTCTACTGCCCCAAGGCTGGGACATATTTCATTTGACATTAAACTCTGCCACTGCCACAGGGAATGTTTCTGTAGTAGGCAGAAAACCGCAGCGGGTCCACACAAGAGCTGGCAAATGCCATTTCCTAGCCTGGCGTCCTCCACCACCCCACTGTGGTCACTATGTGGTCAGGCCCTGTGAAGGCTGAGGGGGCTCCTCATTCATTGCCTGGCCAGCTCCCAGGACACAAGTTCCCCTGTGGCTGCCCCAGGCCAGCAGGAGCCAGGGCCTGAGGGCCCAGCGAGGGCAGGAGGGGACTCATGAGAGCTTCACTAGGCATGGGGGCCAGCAAGGCCTGAGAGAAGTGACACCCAATAAAGAGCCCCAATACTGCAGGGCCGGGGGGCAGTGGGAGCCCACGGGTGCCAGGCCAGGCCCCTCTGGTGAGGCCAGGTGGGCTGAAAGCTGAGGTTCAAGAGTCTTGGGGCCACCGGTCCCATCCTGAGCACACTGTGGGGACTTGCACTGGGGTGACCTGAACATTCCCTCAGGCCTCCTGAATGTTCTCCCAAGATCACCCCTCCCTGGAGGTCCCAGCTGAGTGGCGGGGCCCGTGGTGCTCCTCAGCCTGGCAGATGGACAGACACGGCCTGGGGCAGTGTGGCAGCTGCCCGGCAGAGGCGGCAGTTGCTGTGGAAATCACAGGGGCAGGCGCAGAGGACGGGGACAGCATCTGGCGACTTGAAAGCCCCAGCGTTTCTTGCCAGGACACAGAGCCAGGCAGAGATTATGACTGATTTGTTCAGCCACCTGCGTGCCATTTTCTGGGTCACTGGGGAGACTGACCGTAATGAGGACAAAGCCATGCAGATTCATTTGCTTCGTGTAAAACCCTCCCCGGCACACTCAGGGTGAGCTGCCAGGTACCAGGAGAAAGCCCCTGGGGGCCACCCTGTGCCCCACCTCTCGGCGGCCAGCACCCCCTGGCAGCCGTGAGCACGGGCCTCGAGGAGGTCTGACCCCGCCCCCCACGCAGAGGCTGGACCACAGCGCGTCAGCGGGCAGGGCTGCGTCCCAGGACCCTCCTCACCCACAGTGGCACCTGCAAGCCATCCCTCGAGTTCACAGACACTGGCTGGGTCCTCATGATCGCCTGGAACTCAGAGCCCAGGCCTAGGGCAGAGGCACCAAGAAATGGATGTCGTCGGACTCTCGCATCTGGCCACCCTGGCGATTGTCTACAGAGCTGGGCATCACCCCCGCCCCCACCCCCCACTCCAGGCCCCGCACAGCCTAGGTCTGCTGCTACCTGAACCTGCCCCCAGCATTCTGAGAAGCCCCTGCCCGCCCCACTGCCTCAGCCTCCTGCACCCCGCAGAAAGGAGAGTGCCCTGTCGCTGCCACCTGTCACTCTCCCCAGGCTGTGCCCCGCCCCCCACCCCAACTCGCTGCCCTGGTCTCCGGGAGGCAGGCTCAGGGCCCTGCACCCAGGCGCCTCAAGGCTTCTCTCGGCTGGTGACCCCTTCCTTTCCCACTCGCTTTAATTTAGCCCTCACAAAACACAAGCCACAGCAGCCCCCGTTCCTCGTCTTTTTTCCCCCACCCGCTTCCCCTCCAGTCCTCTGCATGGCCTTACTGCTGTGTGACCTGGGGCAGGTCACGAAACCTCTCTGTGCCCCAGCTACCTCACCAGTCCCCACACTCCTCCTAGGGCTGTAGTTTGGGGGAGGGGGACAGAAAGGCGGTGTCAGGCCTATTCTGGGCAGGGCTGTGCTCACAGGCACCAAGAACCCAGCCCGTGGGCCACCACGTGGCAGGGAAAGCCAGCCCCTCCTGTAGGGCTCAGGGTGACGGAGCCATCGATGAGCAGCATTTTACAGCACAGCCTACCCACCCAGGCCCGCCGGCCCCTCATCTGGGTGGGGGTACCGGAACAGGACCGCCAGCTCCCCGGTACCACCCAGGAAGAAAGGATGTGTGGTCACAAGGCTGCTTAGCAGGGCAGGGGCAGCCCTGGGGACACCCACGCAGAGACACTGGGGTGCAGGGTCACCGAGTCAGTCCTTGTCTTTCTCCACTGACCAGGGCCAGGGTGGGACGCCCACAGGCCCTGGTGACAAGTCACTGTCAGGGGCAGCTCAGCAGGCCCTCCCAGCCCGTCCACATGGCACTCATGGTGGCTGCAGACATGGGCCTAGCAGATTTCCTGCAGAGCCCCTAAATTAGTGGGGTGGCTGCTTGTGCCCAGGTCACGTGTATGCAGAGCGGCCCAGCAGGGTGGGACCAAGCCAGACAGCAATTGGCCTAGACAGAAATCCCAATGGGACGCACACAACTTGTCTGGGCACCTGTGTATGGGTTCAGCCGCCACGGGGCCTTCCTCCTGGGCAGAGGGCGCAGGACCAGTGGTCCTCCTTGGACATCTTGGTATGCCGTATGGATTTTCTCAATCTTCACAACCACTTTGTGAGGGGAATCCCGGTGCGGATAAGTGACTTGCCCAGGGTCACGCAGCCAGGAAAGTGTGGCTGACACTGGCTAGGTGCCCCGGACCCTCTTGGTCCTGGGCACCAGCTGAACCCCTTCCCCAAACTCCTCTGTGTTTTGTGGGGTGCGCGACTGAGGTGTTTGGCTAGTGAAATGTGTGCAGAAATGACAAAGGGTCACTTCTGGCCCTGGTCCCGAAAACCTCTGCAGGGTCTTCTAAGCTGTCTGTGTCTTCCTCAGTGCCAGCCACACACAGAGCACCTGGCACAGGCCTCTAAACCCCGAGAGGGCAGGGCCTGGGTCCTGGAGTGGCTTGTGGAGCAAGGCAGCCTGCACCCCAAATTAGACTGTGGCATATGTGACCAATAAACTCTCAGCATACTGACCCTGGGGAGCATTTGCTACAGCAGCAAATGTGTCCTAACACAGAAGGGACAGCAAAGGGGCTTAAGCCCAAGCCCTGTGACGCAACCCAGGACCTGTGTACCCTACCACACTGCTTTGCCAGATGACAATAGGGAAAATTGTGTCTCATTTGTAGTTATCTTTCTAGAATGTTCCCCCATTACCTTTCCACTGTGGCTGAGCACACACATCTTCCCCCCACGCCTTCACACCACTCCCAACCCATCCCACAGTCTCTCCCCCGTTGCCACTTTCATACTCAGGGCTGGTTTAAACAGTTTGCGGTATTGCTGGCCCTTTCCTTTCGTACCCATTTAGTGGCCACATCTCTGCCCTCTGGGACCTTTGCGGGAGGAAGAACCTAGGAAACGGAGCTCACACCGGCCAGACACAGGTTAGAGGGTGGGAACTCTGCACTGAAGATCTCCGGCCCGGGGAACAGGCACGGCTTTATGGGCAGACCAGCACTCACTCGAGCCCAGCTCACAGCCTCCAGGGAGCCCTCCAGCCTCCTTAGCACCTGGCACAGAGCCTGATTCAGGGCAGGTACTTCATAAACATCTGCCAACCGGCCGAGTGAGTGAGTGAGTGAATGAGTAAATTAATGAATGAACCAATGGGTGAATGAGTTTGCTGAGCTCAGTGAGTCTGATGCCACAACTGGTTGTGTGTGCAGGCTACAGTGGCTGGCGAAGCCTGCTGACCCTCTCTCCATGCAAGGGACAGCCACCATGGGGACAATGGGGTGCCGGCAGGGCTTGGGGGACCCAATCCATGGTCATACCCTGACCCTCCCTTTCCACCCAGGACTTGCCCAGGGAGCCGCTGAAAGCTCCTACCCTGTATGTCCTGGCTGCTGGCCGCTGTGCCCACTGCCAGGTCCTGCCCACCAGACAGGAGCTACTTCCTGGACCCAGACCCTCCCCGGGGTGGAGGCGGCCCAGGGCGGGGAGGATGGACTCACGATTCCATTCTGCACGCTGAAGCCCAGCTGGTACTTGAGGTCTGGCCGCTTGATGAGGACAGTGGTGACTGGGGGACAGCTGACGATATTGAGCTTCACCTGCGTCTGGTTCTTCAGGCCCTGCAGAGCACGGGGACAGGAGTCGCAGGCTGAGCCTTGGACGTCGCCTCACAGGCACAGCTGAGGATGAGTCGGGAGGGCAGGACAGAGCCCAGGTACAGCGGGAACGTGCCCTGGGTGAGGCAGGCAGTCACCTCTCGACCTCACTGTCCTCTCTGTGCAGAGGGACGAGCATCACCCTGACCCTTATGAGAGCTACTGGGTATCGGGGAAGGCAGCGTGTGCTGTGGCCCACCATGATCCGGGGCACCCTCTGCCCTGGGCAACAACCAGCCACTCCAGGGGCCAGAAGCCAGGCTCCTAGTGTGGCAGAGAAGAACCAATGCACCTGGCACTGGGGTCACCCTCAGGAGTTTGAGGGAGGGGCTGTCATCATGCAGAATGCAGGATAACTTCCTACGGAAGAACCTGGGGACACCTTCCTCAAAACCAAATGCCCTTCAATGATGATGACTCCAGGGCAGTTCCACCCCAGTGGAACTCAGTGAGGGGGCAGGACGTAGAAGGCTCTGGTGGCTGCACCAAGACAGGCCAGCCTGGAGCCAGGGGTGCCACTGTCAGCAGGCACCCTAGGCCCCAGTTCTGGGGTCAGGTTGGGGTGAGCAGGCAGGGAGGAGTCCAAGCCTCAGCACGGCTGCAGCTTGCAGCTCGCCCCTCTGGCAGGTCAAGCCCTGCCTGACACCATGGATACTGCCTGGAGACGGGGTCACCCCACACACATAGTCCCTCAGAGCCCCTGGGAGCCTGTTCATGGGATGTTCTGGGCTGGGGATGCCTTTCCTCTCTCAGGCCAAATAAGGGAGGAGGGAGGTGCTTCCTCCAGCACCAAAACCACAGTAGGCTGGGGAGGGGACCACACATGGGTCACAGAAGCCGCCACCAACAGGCAGAGCCCGATGTCTGGAGACTGCTCCCCTGGCATGGCCAGGTGTGAATGCCCCCACCCCACCTGCTGTGACCCCTCTACCTGACCCCCTCCAGGGACAAGCAGCTGAGCACCTCCCAAAGCTGCAAGCTCATGGATCAGACGGTCAGGGTGGCCTCCCTCACTTAAGGCAACCTGTGTCCCAGCACTCGATCCAGGTAGGGTGACCTGCCCTCCCAGTCTGCCAGGGCTGAAGTGGCTGCGTGGAAGTGGGACTTTCAGTGTTAACTTGGGAAGTCCCACTGGTCTTCAGTCCCTTGCCGGGGCCAGCGTGGCCCAACCCTGGGCTAAGTGAGAAGCCCGGAGCAGCCTAGGTCCTCCTCTGGTCTCAGCCCTGTGGTTCAGTCTTGGGTTTAAATTTTGACTCTGTCACCAACCCGTCCCCAGGTGGATTTCTCATGGGTCAAGTGGGGATGACAGTACAGTGAGGACACAGGGAGGCGGGCCGGGGTGACCACCGGCAGAGGGCCCAGCACACCCACCTTGATGATGCCTTGGCAGGTGGCGAGGGGCAGCCCCACCAGGCTGGTGCCGTTGATGGACATGATCTGGTCCCCGATGCTCAGCTTCCCCGAGCGCGCGGCGGGGCCGCCGTTCATCATGTTGGCCAGGATGACCGTGGGCAGGATGGAGCCCCAGCCCGACTCCACGACCACCACGCCCAGGATCTCGCCCTTGTGCTTCTCCAGCTGCAGCTGCGAGGGGACCGGCAGCATGAGAGGGGTCCGGGTGGGGGGCGGGGCCTCTGCCAAGCACCCACGGAGGCGGGAGTTCAAACCTGGCCCCGTGGGTCCCACCCTGCCCTGGCACCCAAGGCCAGCTCAGCCCAGCCTGCAGCCCAACCCTCAGCCTCACCCCTCGCTGGCTCCCAAGCCTTCCCGGGGCCCTGCAATCCTGGCAACCTGGAGGCAGACTCCATCCCCTCCCAGACGCCCAGCATGGCGTCCCCCAGCCCAAGCATGGCTGCAGTGTCCTAGGTGCACGCTGCCAAACCCACGAAAGCCACAGGAATGTTCTCAGACTCCAGGACCCATACCCTCCCCCCCGGGCTTGTCTAGAAAAGTCCTTCTATTTTTATCTTATCTCAAGGGTCACTGTCTCAGAAAACTGCCTGCCATGCATTCCCTCACTCACGCACAACCTGACAGAATCATTCAGTCATTCAACAAACAGTCGAGGTATACGGTCCATCCCCAGGGTATTTGTGCCTCTGTCCTGGAAGAACTTTGCAAAGATCCCTGAGGGCAGATGCTGGCACCTGCTCCCCCCTGCCAGAGCACCCAAGGCCCCTGTTTCACAGCTGCCACATGCTTTGCAGAACTGTCTCCCAGGTGCTAAGCACATGCAGATGGTAACAGCCCTGAAAGGCACATTTTCAGGGTCATCAAAACTGATTATAATCAGCTTCTTTGTGACAAACACCTCATTTCACACACCAGTGCTCGGCTGGAAGGCAGGAGCAGGACACCGGGCTGTGGGAGGGCAGCAGCCTGCGTGTGCATGTGGCCCGGGCAGGCTCGCTCTGCAGGAGCCCGGCTTGCGGGGCAGAAGCCGGCGGCATGCGGCGTCCCCACAGCGGCCTCACCTCCTTGCAGTTCTCCGAGTTTGAGAAGTGGATGAGGTCGTCGTTGTACATCTCCTGGGTGTTGATGATGTCGCTGTACTCCTTCTGGCTCAGGTCCTCGGGGTTGATGCCGTTGGCCCGCAGGAACTCCTGGTAGGCCACGCTGAAGGCCTGGCCGATGGACTGCGCGATGAGCTGCGCCTGCGGGAAGGGCAGACCCGCTGGGCACGGGCAGGCGGCCGGCTCTGGCCCACGCCCTGCTGCCCCCCAGCTGCCATCAAGGGGGTTCTGCACGGGCACCCCCAGCAAGCCTCGGCTCAACAGACAGAGCATAGGCCAAAAGGAGGCTTCGCCTTCAATTCCTTTCTCACTCTACACGTGGCGGGGCTGACGTGCTGCAAAGGAACACGCACGTGCAAGAGCCGGCTGGGCCGGATCAGAAGCCCGGGGCACGGAGGCCCTTCCATGAACAGCTGCCGGTTCTGGGCTGAACTGTCCTCCCAAACCCGGCCCGAGACAGTTAATAGGAAGCACTCATCCGTGCTTTTGCCTTTCCCACGCCCAGCATCTTGGCAGCGGGCGGACCTGGCTGGAGGAGCTGGGCCCGGGAACTGCCAGGTGGCCCCGCCCGCCCAGATACGGGTGGGGCTTGGTGGGGAGCCTGGCTGGTGGCAGCGCAGCCCAGGGGCAGCAGGGCCTCTGGGATGGTGGAGGGAGTGGGGGTGATAGGGTGGTAGGGACCTGCTCCACCCCAACTGAGATCTCAGGATTTGGGGACACAGTGTCCCCCAGGCCTCTGGTTCTGTCCACACGCCTACACCGGATGGAGGTCACCTATCTGGGAAGGGTGGTCTGCAAGCATGGGATCCCTTCACCACAAGCCTAAAGCCCAGCTTGGACTACACGCCACCCTTGGCTCCAAAACTTTGGTTTTTTTTGAACACCCCTCTCCCCCACCTTCCCTCGGCCTACATCATCCCCCCACCCCATGGAGGCTCCTGGGAAGAAGCCCAAGAGAGCTGGGTCCTGCAGGAACATGTGCTTCCTTTGGGCACAATCCCAAAGCCATTGGTGTATTGCTGCCAGCTACTGTCTCCCACTTCCCCTTTGCCCTGCATCCTGCCCTCCTCCTGCCAGCACTGGGGCCGGCTGGAGAGCTTGCTCTGCTCTCCCAGTCCCTACCCCTGCTTCAGGCCAGGAGCCCTACCCAGGCCCCAGCTGCAGGGTGGGTGCCACTGGGGCTGGGCATGGGGGTGGCCAGTGCTTAGAGGAAGCCTCCTGCAGGTGCAGCTGGCAGGCTCTGGGCAGGGACTGCTATACCCAGCATGTACACCATGTGGCTGTGGGCCCCAGACAGCTGAGCTCCATTCTACAGCGCAGGCCACTGTGTCCCCAGGGCCACCTTCTGTGTCCTTCCGGGTACTCCACAGTCCTCTCAGCCCCTGCACTCACCCCGGTAGCACACCTGGATGGAGCCTCCACCAGATCCTCCTCTCTGGGGAGCTGCCCAGGGGCTCTCATGCTCTGTCGGCAGGTTCTTGCCTTCCTCCTTCAAGGACCCCTTGGAGCCTCATTACCACCCCTGCAACTGTGCTCGCAGCCTTGCCTCCCACTGAGTTGAGAAAATCAAGGCCACAGTGGCATCCCCTGACCTTAAAGCTCTGTCACACCCATCCATGTCAGTTGGCACCTTGGAAGCTCCTCCTTCTCTCCTTAGCGACTTTCACACACGCTGGCTATCCACCCTCTGCCCCTGGGCCTGCCCTGGGCCTCGTACCGCCCAGCACTGGCGGCCCACCCCTCATGCCAGGTCTCTAAGATGTCCTCAAACCCACTGTCACACACAAATGCCTGTCCAGGTTTCCAGAAGTCTCTCTCTAATGGTGGAAAGGGTATGTGTGTACGTCATTTAAATGTCCTCTCCTGTGAATCTGCCATGGCGTCAAAGCATTTCAGATGGACTTCAACTCAGGAAGAAGATGACTGCCCCTGCCCACAGGTTTGAACTCGATCTTCAAACTCAGTTTCGATGCCACATTTTGTGAGCGTGAACATCCTGGGACCCTTCCCTGCAGCCCAGGTCCCTGAAACACCCTCAAGTCCCTATGTGAACCAGCACGCCCTGGCCGAGTGGCCATAGGCCATACAAAAACATTTCACTCTGGCAACAGCAGCAAGGGTGGGGCAGCTGCAGCCTCCATGGTGGGCCTTGGGGGAGATCGGCTGGAGGGGTCAGTCCCTCTTCCGAGCTACCCCTTGGCACCAGCCACTCCCCCTCTCCCTCTCCAGGTTCATAAAGGTGCCCTTCTCCCCCTCAAGGAAGCAGGGTTCATGATCTTCCAGTGACTCTTTGGCATTCTAAACTTCAGAATTATTTTTTAACTTGTTATGACGTGAAGTGCCACATTCGAAGGCAGAGCTAAGCCGCAGGCGCAGATGAGCCTCTCTTCCCAGAACCCTGGCATGCAAAATGTGCATTTTAGTAACAGAAAAAAATTACACAAAGATTGACTTTATTCTAAGGGAGAAAAATGTTTTGTAAAAGGATTTCTTCAAATGGATAGCTCCCCTGGTATATTTAATGAAGCCTCGATTTATATAAATAGCTCTAGAAAAATCTATTTCATGAAGTGAAATAAGCTGTGTTTATTATCTTTGCAAACTCAGAGTGTGCGAAGCAGCACTGATTCCACTAGAAACGCCGAAAACGGCACAGGGAATTTCTACCTTATGGCGCTTTCCACGGAGCCTGGGGGCCTGGAGCCTCGCGGGGTGCGGGGTGTGGCCTGCCCAGAGGGGAGTGTCAGGCCGTGGGTCTACTTACGTCCTCTGACTCGAACACGTGGCAGATCATCTTGTACTGCTTCTTCCCCTCCTGGGCCCCGGGCGTGGTCTCGATGCAATCTTGAGAGGCTGAGCGGGGCATGCGGCGCCTGGCCATCAGCACCACGATGTTCCCGATGTCGGCGATGTAGGAGATGGTGCGCAAGGCGTGGTCCATCATGGTCTCCTTTCGGGAGAGGGAGACAGGCCCACATCAGGGAACATCACAGGGACATGCCATGAAAACACTCCAGGGCTTTACAGCCGTCAGGCTGCTGACATTTGGGGCCAGATCCTTCTCTATGGGGAGGGAGTTAGGAGCAGCCTTGGCCTCTACCCATGAGATGCCAGTGGCATCTCCCCCTTCCCAAGTAAGACAACAAAGAGTATCCGCAGCTGTTGCCAAATGTCCCCTCGGGGGCAAAACCACCCCGGTTGAGAACCACGGCTCTAGTGGACAGAGCGTCTTAGGGTGCGATTCATGGTCAAAGTCACTCTGCCCTCACTTCAGCCCCAGTTCCAAAAGGGGACTCTGCCGACACTCAGGGAGGCATGATGCAAGGGTGGGTTACCCGTCCCCACAGGAGGACGAGCAGGAGCTGGCGTGAGGCGAAGCCCGTCCCCTCCCCAGTGAGAAGCCATCCGTGGTCCTGGAGAAGGGCCCCTCCCTGCAAGGCATGTGCTCTCATAGGCCCAGAGAGCAGGAGGCGAGCATCAAGGCCACTGTTTTCCACCCAACCAGTTCCTCCCAGGGAGCCCAGGCAGCCCGGGCCAGGGTGGAGACGCTGGCAGCACTCCTGACTCCAATCCATGGGCTTCCGTGGCCGACTTCAATTCCCTCAGCCCCTGGCAGGCCCATTACTCTTCCTGGCTTTTGTCCTCTGACAGGAATCTCCACAGAGCATCTTGCCCACGAACCCTACCTAACAAGGCTGCACACAAAGCCTTGAGAAACTAATCAGTTGGTCTTTTATGCCTTTGTCATCCTTTCACAAAAGAAAATCTGGTGTTTCTGCAACCTTCGGAGCCCTTTTCTTCCTCTCAGAATCCATTTTTGCAGCAGATAATGCTCCACCTTTGTCTCTGGGGCTGATCTATTTTCTAGTCAAGGCCCTGAGGGTGCTTCGTAACCACAAAAGTCATCTTCCAGGGAGGGACACTGGAAAGCGAAGAGTTGGGGTCGGCTCTTCGGCAACTCCTGACTTGTGGCCACTGTCAGAAACACCCGAATCAATCCTCAGGTGTGAGAAACGTGCTCTCCCCCGGCTCCCGGCTTCCAGCTCAGGTCAGCGGCAGAGCCATCCTCCTCGCAGACAGAGGCCTACCAACATGGCCTCCATCCTCTCTCTAGCCCTGACTGGCCACTTCAGCCTCCACAGTCTCTCTCCCCTGTTCCCACCTCTCCAGCTCCTCTGCCAGCATTTTGATTTTTCAGTCAAACCAATTTCCTGTCACAATCTTTCTTCCAGTTCATCCTAAATAGTGTCTCAGAGCAAGTCCACGAACTACCAATAGCTGCCCATGATCAGGCAAGTCACCCCAAACATTTCAGCTGGGCACCCAGGCCACCCCTCATTGCAGAACCTTCCTGTCCTAACTGCCAGGACTTGTTGTCCTCGCCCTTGCCCTGGCCAACAGAGACTCCCATGGTGGCCCGAAGCCCACCTGGGTCCTGTGCTTGCATGGTTGGTCTTTAGGGAGCATCAGCTCACCCTGCCACCCCACCCACCCTTCCTGACCTTCCCTCTTGGCAGCCACCCTCCCCTGTGGCCAGGGCGAGGCTTCCAGGTGGTTCTGATGAGGAGGATCCTGCCTCTCTCCATCACGGCTGCCACTGTGTTCCCCTGAGCACACAGACAGCCAGGGGTGTCCCGTCCACCCTCCCAGATGGTGGGCTCCTAGGGAGCAGGGCACATCTGTTTCTCCCGCCAGCCCCAACTCTCAGTGACCCGGCGGGGGCTCTGAATCAGCAGGTGAACTCAGTCAACACCACAAGCAATGACTCGGGCACCAGCTATTCCTCTGGCAAGAAAAGTCGGCAACATTTCCACCACGAACAGGAACACAGAGGCGACTCTACCAGGCTCATCTCCTGCCAGTGCTCACAAACACGAGTTCTCTCTCCCGCCTCGGTCTGCCGTGTCTCTCCACAGCAGGCCAGAGGCCTCACAGGCGGTGGTGGTTTTGTCACCATCCATCCCCCAACACATGGCAGAGCTACTCCCTGCAAAGCAGATCCAGGATGGAGGCCACCACCTCACTCCTCCCCAGTCCTGGCACCAAGCCCGCTGAGCAGGTGGGGTGGGCACAGGAGGGAAGTGGACGCCATGTCAGGACACACCTATATGTGGCTGCGGCCAGCATACCTAGGGGAAGGGGCACCAGCTGACGGAGCTGCCTCTGTTAAAGAACAAGGAGTCCCCTACCCTCATTTCTGGAGAAATAAGTGCCCCAGGGATTGCTGAAGACCCGGGTTTGTGAACTGTTCCACCTCAGATCCAAATTCTTAGCAGCCTGTCACTGGGAAAGCCTGAGCAGAGCACAAAAGAAAGCTCTGAGGTTGCCTGCTCCAAGGCTCCAGAACATTCCCGTCTGCAGAGACCTGGTAGGCCACGGGCATCTCCAGCAGCCACAGGGAGCATCTCTCACAGGCCCTCCAGGCCAAACCTGTGAAGGTGGGAGCCCAGCCAGCCCCTGCAAAGCGCAAGGGCCCAGAGAAGCGAATGGGCGGAGGAGGATGACAGGAAAGGGCCCGCCCGTGTCCTCCAGAGGACAACAGAGTCTCAGCCCTGAGTGGCAATGGGGAGATGCCCTTGAAGTGCACAGGCTGTAACACATGGGCGCGCCTGGCCGGCAGCCCCAGACGCTGGGACAGGGCCTGAGAACCGACGTTAACAAAGCTGGGCTGCGAGGAAAACAATCATCCAAAGAGTTGTCAGGGACAGTCAAAACTGGCAGCACGGCCCTGTTCTGGAGAGTGTCTGCCACCCTGGCCTTGGAGGGCAGAGGACCCCAGGCACCGACCCTGGGGGCATCTGCGTGGCATCCCTGAACCACGACGCTCCTGGCCCGAGGAACAGGAAGTCCGTCCTTATCGAGTGCCCGTCTTGAAACAGCAGGCAAAAGGAAATTGAGAGCTCTGCCTCTGTCCCCGCCCATGAACTGACGCCTCTGTTCCTAGTTATACCAGTGGCTTTAATTTGCACGCCTTGTTCAGAATGCAAAGACCTAGAAGGGAGGAGGGAGGGAGGGAGGGGAGAGGTGTGAGCCGTGCTTGGGGCTAGGCTAGGAGCTTCCTCTACACGGCATCCAGCAGAGGAGTTAGCCCCTGTCCCATGTGAAAGAGCAACTGAGGGCTCAGAGACATCCAGCAACTTGTCTAAGGCCACACAGCTCATAAGGATGGAGTCCATCTTTATTCCCAGGCTCATCTTCCCACCCCTGGGTGGTGGCGCTTTCTGTGAGCATCGACAGGAAGAGTTGGGGTGGCAGGCCTGGCAGCCGTCCTGGGAAAGGCTCACCCTTTGCTGATGTCTGGAACGAGGATTTCAGGAGGGTTCCCACCACCTCAACTGCTGGCTGTGGTTCACTCTTCCTGTGCAAACGACGTGGTCTAGGCTGGACACCTGCTTGCTTTCTGGGAGCCTGGCACTTTGGTACATGCCAGGCAGAGGTGCCTATGCAACCAGCCCCAGTAAAGACCTCGGGCACTGAGTCCCCACAAGCTTCCCTGGTAGACAATACATCGCCTGTGCTGTCACAACTCCTTGCTCGGGCAGTCGGTGTGTCCTGTGTGACTCTTCGGGGAGAGGACTCTGGTTTTCCCCCGGCCTCAGCCCCAGGCCCCGGTTCCTGTGCCGATTCTGCGCACTAGACTGTGAGAAACCTCAGCCGTGAGCACGCTGAGTGCTGTGAGACCTCCGGCAAGTCATCGAGCCTGGGGTGTCCTGGGACCACTGCACAGGTGGGTGATGAGGGATACAGCTAGAGGGGTGCGGGGGATCTCATCCAGACAGTTTGGCCACAAAAGATCAGGAAACAAAGCCCAAGTCTGTGAAGTGTCACAAGTCTGTGAAGTGTCACCCTAACCTATGCCTCTCCGATTTTTCACCAAGTACACGGTTCCCAGAGGGGTGGGGGGGCGTCAGAGTGGGCAGGACACAAAGACCAGTGCCTGGACACAGGGGGCAGACGTGAGGAGGCAGGTGAGCCACGGCGCCCACATCGGGACGAGCTGAGGGCTGCGATGGTGGGTGGGCAACACGGCGCTGGGCGTGGGAGCGGGTCATGGCATGAGCCAGGCACTGGGCCCCGTCTCCTGTCTCCAGACGTCGGGACCCCCGGGAGTGGGAGATGAGGGGAAGGGCTCTGGGCTCCCAGCAGACCTTCCACCCACCTCCCAGCCAGTGGGCCCTGGGGGCGACACCAGCACCTGCGGCCTGCGACACTCCCTGCTCCTCCCGAGGCCCAGGGCCGTGGGCCGTGCGTGTGGCTGGGGAGCTGGGACGAGAAAAGCACGCTGACGCTGGGGGGACGAGGGTGAGGCACGGACTGAGGAGTTCACACGCTTACCTGTGTGTCCGCATTCAAAACCTTGATCCTCTGGGTGGAGATGAAGAGGTCCACTTCCGTCAGCGTCTGGGCGTCTCCCTCAGAATTCTAAGAAAGGACGGTGGATACTGTCACAAATCAGAAATGTACCTGGAATGGGCATTTCTCAAAAGAAGACATACCAGTGGCCAACAGGTACATGCTCAACATGAGTCATCAGGGAAATGCAAACCCACACCACCGCGAGCTACCACCTCACGCCTGTTAGAATGGCTGTGATCAAAAGGATAAAAGATAACAAATGTTGGGGAGGGTGTGGAGAACAGGGACCCTGGTACATCGTGGTGGAATGTAAATTAGTGCAACCACTATGGAAAACAGCATGGAGGGGCCTCAGAAAAATGAAAATACAACTACCACATGACCCGGCACTCTGATTACTGGGTATTTACCCAAAAGAAAGGAAATGAGGATGACAAAGAGATGTCCACACTCCCGTGTCCACTGAAGCACTATTCACAACAGCCAAGATATGGAATCAGCCTAAATGTTCACAACATATGAATATATAAAGAGAATATGCAATGCAATAATGATTCAGGCTTAAAGAAGACAGAAGAAAAAAACCCTATCATTTGCAACAACATGGACAAACCCAGAGGACATTATTCATTAAGTGAAATAAGTCAAATGTAGAAAGACGAACATCATATAATCTCACTCATATGTGGAATTTTAAAAAGTTGATCTCATAGAAGTAGACAGTGGAATAGTGGTTACCAGGGGCTGGGGCTGGGGCTGGGGTGGGGAGATGTGGGTCAAAGGATATAAAACTCTGGTTAGACAGGAGGAATAAGTTCAAAAGATCTATTGTACAACCTAGTGACTATCATTAATAATACAGTGATTGTATTCTTGAAAAATGATAAGAGAGTGAACCGTAAAGTGTTTCTGGCTTCAAAAATGGTGACATGAGGGAATGCATATGTTAATTAGCAAGATTTAGTCATTCCACAATGTACATATACTTTTAAGTATCATGTTGCACACTGTAAATACACACACAATTTTATGTGTTAATTAAAAAAAAAAAAAAACCTCAAAGGAAGGCCTGGCAATTTTATTAATCACCCTGAGTCCACATAGATGGAAATGCCACTCCAAGTGGAGCAGCCGTCAGAAACCTAAGAGCATGCCGCGGGTAGCCTCGTGGCTCAGCGTGAGTTCTCCAGGCAGCCTGAGGCAGGCACAGAAGGGCGAGACCGGAAGGGGACCCGGACGCCTGGGTCTTAGGGTACCGCCCCTCCCACCAGCAGCGAACAGGGCTGCTCTGGCTGAGCCGTGTCCATTTCCGTGAAGGCACAGGGTCTGTGGGCTCAGGCTACCTTCCCTGGATTTGGGACTCCAAGAATCCCAGGGAAAGGGGGAAGACATTTTCAAAGAAGCTGGATTAAAATGTCAGCATTTCCTTCTGATTTAAACAGCCATGGTCATGTTGACCCCTGTAACCTTGGCCCTGAGGGGATTCAGCTCGGGACTGGCCTGGGCACTGCCCTCGACACAGCGACCCAGCGAGGCCAGGAAGAGATGCCACACAAATGACCCTAATTTGTCACCCCCACTGCAGAACGCTCGGAATACAGCTGTGACAGATGTTTTGTGGACTGTCCTGGAAGCCGAGTGGACGACTCAGGGTCTGACCCAAACCAGGACAGCCTTTAATTGGTTTTTACGTTTGCAAGAACCCGAATTACCACTGCGCAGCAGTGACGAAACACACGTGCTACGGGTTTGCCCACCGAGGTGAGAAATTCTTTGTGGTCGCCAGGGAGCCCACCATGGCATATCTTCCATTTCAAAACAGCAGAAACTGTGATTTAATTACTCACTAGAAAATCTAAAATAGAAAATCTCCCTGCTGACAATTTCCTCACGAATTCTGCATTGCAGAGAGGCCCCGTGTTGTAATAATAAATTCGTATTTTGGCTCAGTTTGCCAGGGAAGAGGTCTTTTGGGGCTTTCGATCTAACCACAGGGTGACACTGCTTTTAGCTACTTAGAGAGAACAGAGTGCAACACAACCCAGCTGAAAAACAGTCTACGGGACCAGGGAGGAATTTTTTCTCTGTTTTTAAAAATCGAGTTATATTCAACATCACCATGCTTTTAAAGGTCACATTCTGGGATTGCAGCTCAAATCCCTCCGGATTTTAAGTAGGTCGAGCCAGAAGTAAGTTAGGAAAGTTGTAGGTGGACTCTGGCATGAGCGGTAATTGTGGAGGGAACTCGAGCAGTTTAACACACTTGACTTGAGACGAGGAGCGCCCTGACACTGGCCCGGCTCAACTAGAGGGTAAACGACAGAGACGAAACGCAGTCGCTACCAGAGAAGGGGAAAGGTCACCATTGTCACCCTTGGTGGAGGAAGGGAGGGTGTCAACAGCATGGATCCTACAGAGGGACACCAGAGAGCAGGGTGAGCCACGCACGTCTGGGGGACAGGCCCGTGACCCTACAGCCACCAGTGGCGGTGGGCAGAGGCAGTTCTCCACCAGGACTGTGCTTGCTCCTGGGTCCCACTTGCCTGTCCTCACTCGCCTCCCCAGCTGTGGGCAGCCCGGAAAAGGGGCTCTCAGCAATGACACCGAGCATCTCACAGCCCAGAAAGGAAGAACCACCCTGGGTCACATGTACTCAGCTGGCCCCTGGCTGGCCGCCCAGCTGCGTCTGCCTGTGCCCGACCCCTCCAGACGCAGGTGGTGACTCTGTAGGATTTCTGGACCTGCAGACCCCAGAGGCAGGCTGTGGTCCGCAAGGACGCCTGCTCCAGCTAGACAGGGGGGCTGCAGGGGAGAGCCCCTCTTCTTTGGGGGAAGCACACCCCAACTGCAGGGTTGCAGTGCCAGGCCCATTCTGCTTCTCCTGGAGGCACCCAGAGGGAAGTCAGCCTGGGCAGAGGAAGAGGAGTGTGGCCCTTCTTCTCCTGTGGCTGAAGGGGAATCACAGGAGACACCGCGGGCAAGGGCAAATGTCATGAGCCACAGCAGTTTCACTGCAGGGGGAAGGGAGCCCTCAGATGGGGTCCTCTGGCCACGGTGCCAGAAAATGGCATTACTGCAAGGTGGGGAGGGAGGACCGGGTCTCTTGCTGTTTAAACAGAAGGAAACAGTGGGCAACGAGCCAGTGCCGAGTCTCCACGGGCTTGTCCCAGGCCTCAACATCGAGCATTTTGACATTTTCCATATGAGTAGGACAGTTAGAAAATCTCCAGCATTTACTAAATGACCAGGTTGACAAACCAATGACTAACTGTCAACCCAATTTTTTAAGGTCTGCCCGTGCTCCAAAGACTACTTTCAACAGAGAAAGCACCTCATGGGCAAACTGAGCTACTTGTCCTGCTGATTCGGTAAATTAATACTGCTCAGGAGGCCCAGGCCCCAGACCCATCACACTGTGACACGAAATGCCACCTTTAAAAGTGTCCACATAAAACAGGAACATCGTGGCACGAGCCACGCACCAGTACAAAGAGATGCTAAGAAAGATGGGGAGAGAAGAGAACTATGACATTCTTCTGTAAATGGGTGGTTAAAAAAATGAACTCTCTGCGGCTTCATTCACAAAAGCCTGATATTCACCTACACAGGGAAGACAAAGAACCGCTTTGCAACCTCAACTGGATGCTGAATAGACCCTACCCCACCCCACTGCTCGGACAAGCCACAGACACACAAGTGATCGCCGCTGTTCCAGGGCCACACGGTCCTACACACCGCTTTTTTCTTGATCTTAGCAGCCTTCTGCATCCTCTGAGCAGCATGGAAGAGAAACAGAAAAACAGGTTGGCACAGAGAGAAGGAAAGTGTGGCAAGGCCATGTCAGCCTTGTGGTCAACACCCCCGTACTCAGGCCTGACGCCCTGCAAAGCACCAGGTGGACAGTCACTGCCCACACGCTGGCCAACAGAAGCCCACCGAGACACCCCCTCAAGTACTAAAATTGACTGTCAACCGCCTGCGTACAGAGGGCACGACTAGGGACAGGAGAGACACGCTCTGGCCAGCACAGTGGCACAGGGGCCTGGGGCAGGACGCAGCCAGGGCACTGGCATCAGGGCTCAGAGCTGTCCCCAGCTGCTTCCCTTCCTCCTGACCACCGCGGATGGCCTCCCGGTGGCCCTCGGCCTCAGTTAAAGCAAGTCAGTGTACGGAGAGGGCAGGGAGGGGACTGCCATCGTTTCTCATCCCCACAGGGTGGCAGTGTCTGCAGACCCTGTCTTGCACTGGTGGCACCACCTCAGACCCCCGAATCTCCTCTGTCCTGACCCCACTTAGCCCCGCTGACCTGGCCTCACCTTCGCCTCTCCCGGCCTCACCTACCGTTCCCCACCAGACGATGCAGCATGCACCTAGAGCTGCAAGTGTGTCACGGCTTCCCTTGAGGTCATGAATTTAAATAAACATGATTTTTTCCCCCTTTCTGGAAGCACTTTGGCGCTAAAAATATACCTACTGTCAAAGTGGGATTTAAGACTCCAAATTTGAGACTGTCTTATGACTGGAATGCTTTGGAACGATTATCTTTAAATAAATTATGCTTCTGGGGGATTCCGTGGCCCTTCCTTCACGAAGGAGCCAGCTGCCTGTGTGCCAACCCCCAGCGTCCTCCCCGCGGAGGCGCAAGCCTCCCTCAGCCTCGTGGGCACCTTTGCCACTCGGGGCACCTCGGCCACTCCTGCTCTCCGCGCTGAGGGCTCAGTCAGAGCTGGACACGGCGCGCTTGTGCCCACCGCACTCCGTGCCCTCAGCGCTCCCGCGGTGAGCAGGCAGCCACCTGGGACCCAGAAGCACCTCTACCTTGACCCGGCTGACGGCCTCCTGCGCTTGCATCATTCTGATGTTTTTGGAAGGGTTCCGTTCGGAGAGCAGCTGGGTGGACCCCAGGTAGTTGGCAGCGAAGATGATCCCATCGATGAGGTCTTCTGGCTCACAGGGCCCTGGAACTGAAGGGGAGCCCAGAGTTAATGTGCTTCTAAAGGAGAGAGGCCCTGAACAGAGGGACGGCCTGCCCGGCCACAGCACGAGGAACACGGCAACCAGGGCAGGGGCAGAAGAAAAGGGCTGAACCACCGCCAACCTGCAGCCAGCTAGGGGAGGCTGGTCTGCTTCCCGCGCTGCCCGGGCTGTGTGCGTGGTGCAAGTTGCTCCACGAAATCAGCACTCGGGCCAGAAAACTGCACACACGGCATCAGGAGGACAATGCTGGGATCCCAGGTGACTGTCACTCAAGGTGGGCCCTCCAAGGCGACAGGCACATGCTGCAAACCCAGAAGATGCCACCTCCCAAACATGACAGTGCTTTCCACGCTTTTCCCAGGTCCCCCAGCACCCAGGATGGTGATCTGAAAGGGCTCCCTCTCCTGCTCAGGTCTCTTCGGCAGCCTCTCAGGTGGCCCGTTTAGCTCCTCCCACCCCACATGCCTCAGGCCCACACGGCAACATGATGCTTATTCCACCTGCTGCCTGGCCCCACAGAACTTTCCTCCAGCCACGACAGAAGGTTCTGTTTCTGCAGTGTTCAATGTGGGAGCCACTAGCCACATGTGGCTTTGAGCACTTGCTCTGCGGCTCCTGTAACTGAAGAACTGAATCTTTGTCTTTGATATAACTTTAATTAATTGAAGTATAAAGAGCCACATGTTAGCAGCTAGTAGCGCCTATACTGGACAGCGCATCTCTAGTAAGGGATTGGCAGATCCTTTCTGTACAGGGCCAGGGGTAACTATTTTAGGCTTTGTGGCCTCTACTGCAACTACTTGCTTTTGTACCTGAGGTGCAAAGGCAGCAACAGACAATACAGAAATGAGCACGTACGGCTGTGTTCCAATGACACATCATACGCAGGGTCGAGTGCCCAGGAGGATGTGGCCTCAGGGCTGCAGTCAGGTGACCGCTGAGCTAGTCTAGACCAGGGCTCAGCTGTCCTCTCAGGCCCATGCTGGCCACACCACCTGCCTCCTTCACCCCACCACTGTCCACCTCTCAGCCAGAGCCTTCCTTCCTGGGGAACTTGGCCCTGGCTCCAAGGGTCCCCTCCTGCCCCAGCTGGCCCCACCCTGACCCACTCCAGCACCACGGGCCAGCTGTCCCGCACTTCCCCAGCCCTTGCTGCCAGTGGCCTCCTCTGCACCTCTCCCCTCCCTCAGCCAGCTGAGCCCCGGTCTCACCTCTGACCAGCAACTGACCCACCTTGGATGCGGCCACCCACCACCCCAATAATATCTGCCCAACAACCCCAACACCCTTGCCCCTCACACCCCAGGAGTTTGGCAAAACTCTGATCTATTTTCTTTTGGCCGAAGGCTGGAAAAAGCTGCCCAAGAGGTCAAATTGGTGCCATGATAAATTCATCATAAATTCCTGGCCCCAAATGCCCTCAAAACTCCTTGGCAACTCTAATCCATTTCTCTGGGTCTGGGACATTCACCCTCTTCCTCTTGCAAGAGCTGTTCATCTCTCTCCATTTCAAACTTCCAGCGGCCCCTCCCTCCCCTGCACCAGGCAGGCCAGATGGGAGCTCACCTTCTGCACCCAGCACGCTCCTTACGGGACCCCCTTGTCCACCCTGTGCCCAGGACTGAGCCCTACCAATTGGGCCCTCCCACTGCTTTTAAGTATCTCCCAGTGTTGTTAGAGGGAGGCAGCGTGACTCTGGGGACCCAGAGACTGGAAGGGTCTCCACCCTCCCAGGCTCTGTGCCCCTGGGTGAGGGACCTAATTTTTGTTTCAGGCCTTGATCCCCTAACCAGCAAAATGATGGAGGGCAGGGAGAAGGAAATTCCTGATGTCTATCTCCACAGGGGTTTTGTAAACATAAGATAAATGATATGAGTCTCATAAAGGCTAAAAGTGTAGAAAATGCAAGGCATTCGTTAATGAATTCTTAGTTTTTATTTGCATTTGTCTAAAAAGATAAGTCATAAACCGTGGACAGGGCAGGCTTGAGCACCAGACCAGGCAGTAGCTGTCACAGAGGGCAGCATCCAAAGCCCACTCCCACCTGCACACATGGTTTCTGAGCAGGCTTCAGGAGGGCAATGAGGCTCAGAGGGCAAAGGGACATGCATGGCCACACTGAGACCAGTGACAGGGAAAGCACCAGATCCAAAGTTGGCCACATCCTACATAGTGGCCTCTACTGTCATCAATGCCCCAGAAACTCCCACCTGCAGGTGCAAGGCGGTACAAACTCCTTCTAAACCCTGTCCCTGAAGGGATGGTGGGGAGGTGACAGATCATTTTAAATGACACTTGGGGCTGAAGTCATTTGGGGAAGGAGGAAGGGAAACCGAGACCCCAGCAACCCTACCTGTGCCCAGAGTCACCTGTGGCACCTGACGGGCTTGCAGAGTCCCCAACCCCACCCAGGAGATTGAGCGTCACTGAAACCAGGGTGGGGACCAGGAATCTGTGGTGTTCACACACACACCTGGTCACACTGACGTGTAGCCAGGTAGGGAACATCTAGTCCCTAGCAGACCAGAATCCCCCTAGCCCAGGTCATCTTAGGAGTGAATGAATCCAGAATCTCAGGGGCTACACCCCTATGAGAGACACAGGTCCCAAACACCCGCTCATGCAGGGGCTGGCAGGGGAGCTTCCCAGGGACACTGCTCCTGACAATGTCCTGGCCCTTAAGGGCGGGAAGCCTGGGCTGACCCCTGCAGGGCTCCGTGGCCAGGGTCAAATCAGGCTCCTTCCAGCTCAGGAGCCAACAAACCTTCTCCCAGCTGCACAGGCTGGATGCACCAGTGGTGAGAGGTGGGGGTGGGGGACTGCAGGATTTAGGGGCAGCACCAAGGGAAGAACCTCTGCCTGCCTGGCACTCAGAGGATGTACCAGGGCCTATCACCAGCTAGCGGGGAGCAGAGGCCACCTCCGAGAGAGGGGACAAGAGTCCCTGATCACAATGCAGCACCCCTACCCTGACCCTCAGGCTTCCTTGGAATGAAGTTCACCTGTCCACTTTGCTGGGCATCTGGGACAATGTATATAAACAGGCCCAGCCGCTGCAGGCCGGCTGGACATGTCCCTATCCTCCCTTTGGTGTCCCGGATGAGGGGCTTGGAAGGCCCCCCAGAGCCTAAAGTAGGCCTATTTTTACCACCTCAGGCCACCTCTCCAGTAGCAAGGTTCAGAGGCATCATTTGCCAGGGTCCCCCCATAGGGAAGCCCCAGCCACCCAGTAAAGCCCGATGTAGTGACTCATATGGACCAGTAGATGGCATCGCGTTGCTCTGCAGGAAAGTGCTGGCTCTCTCAGCCGCCCTGGACTTCCCTGCCTCTCACCCTCAGCCCATGTCCTTGTGTCCTGTCTGGGGTGGGGGCCCTGACCCTGGGGAGGGGAGGGATGGAGGCCTTCCCTTTGGAATATGACCCCCACCTTCTGAGGCTGCTGCCTTCTGACCCTTCCCTTGCCAGCTCCCACGGTGACCTGGACAGCTCACCAGACCTTTCTGGGGTTCACATGCCTGTTTCAATGCATGTCCTTGGGCTCCACCAGACCTGGGGCCCCTCCGGGGGCACAGACCGCCATGTGTGAACGGTGCCCATCCTGGCCAGTGGGGTCCACTGCTGGCACCCACGGACACCTGCGCCTGGGAGGAGACTAGCGAAGGTCTCCGGTTTTTGCTACAACTCCAACAGATGCTCCATCTCTGCCGGGGGGTCCCTTTTCCTTCCTGCCTTGCTCTGTTGTCTAACAGGAAACGATAAATGCCACGGCGTCTGCAGATCCTGCCTGCCACCCTGCCTCCCACTCTCACGTGTATTAGGGAAGGACAACCCAGAGAAGAGTGTCCCCCACGCGGGGGAGGCGTGGGGCTGAGGAGTTATTTCAGACTCGCAGGCACAGCTTTCAACTCCTACCGTGAAGGGCAAAACCAAAATCAAACAGCCTCGTTAGAATATGAAAGCATCTGGCCTTATCCGTTTTGGTGTAACTGTTCTTATTTTGTTTAGTTCTTGAACTAACCCTAAGCTAAGACCACCAGAGGGAGACAGATGACAAAAGAATAAAGACACAGGTTTAAAGGCAATCTTATCTCCCCAGAGAGTGATTTCTCCTTTTAACAACGTCTTACTCACACAGCATATGCACAACGTATCTGCACAGTTTGGTGGAGAGTAAGGCCTCCAAGTTCTTCCCTGCTGGAAGAATCCTGTGTATAAAACAGTCCTTAGGAAAGCCCTGGCCCTCTGGCTGCTCATCAGCTCTCTGGACGGGGCGGGCGCCCCACAGAGCCACACCTGAGAGCCCCCCCCTGCCCGGGCACCTTTGGGGAAAATCATCCTGGACCTGGGTGGTGGACAGAGGCTTTCCCCCTTGTGGGCCTGGCCCCAGGGGCCCTCATTAACTCTAAGACCCATGTCTGCTTCTCCCCTGGGTTTCTGGGGGGCAGCCAGGGGGGGGGGCGCCAGGGCACGGCGCACATGGCGGTGTGGGTCTGCACCTGCAAGGTCCGCTGCTCTCTGCAAAGGCAGAGTCCTGGAGTGCAGTCCCACACTCCAAACACCCGACCTCTGTGCAATAGTGGCACAGTCCCGCCCAGTCCTCGACCACCCCAGGAAGCAGACCTCATGGTCTCAATGTTACAAATAAGGATCATCCAAGTGGGGTCAAATGATTTTGCCCAAGTTCACCATCGTGGATTCAGGTACTCAGTGTTTCTAAACCCGCTGCGTGAAGACCGGTGTCATGGCAGTAAACATGGAGCTCACAGCTATGTAGTGAGGCTGACGTCAGTTCCAAGTCACCAAATAAATGCATCAGGATGGCCCATAGTGAATGCCAGCAAGGAAGGGTGCAGCCCCAAGGAAGAAGCAAGAGTGAGGCCCACCCTCATGAGGAATCTGGGGGCAGGTGCTATTTGAGCTGAGCTCTGAAGGATGAGAAGGAATCAACAAGCCATAAAGGGTTAGAAGGGGAGTTTTCTGGGCTAAG